TGAAATTTATACAAGAGACAAAACTGCTGATATAGACAACTTATTTCAGGCGAACGAAAGAAGAAGAAGAAGAAAAAATAATATAGGAAATATAAAGAACGTAAGAAATCTTTGACATAATGCCACAACATTTTCAATAACTAGATACTATGAAAATACATACATTTAAGCCTGTCACCCCACACAAATCTTAAACAAATGACCTATTAATTTTCAAAAGTGAGTTAGAAAGAAACGCATCCCTTTAATTCTCTGAAACTCTAAGAAACTAGCGGAAGAGAAGAAAAAGCAGAAGAAATAATGAGTTTTGGTATGGTTTATACAAATCCATGGGGTCAAAACCTATGACCACCAAGTAGACAGGAAAGCCTGCTAGCTTCTGTATCACAGAGGCTACCAAATCACTAAAACAATTATAAACTGTTTTAAAAAAAAAAAATCATAATTTCCCTACCAAACAGATTAGCTGTAGTAAGGGAAATAAACATTAGGTGCAAACAGCAAAAATGTAACTTTTTTTACTCCCACTGACCACAAAATTGTCTTTTTTGACATGGTCAAATGCAGAAAAGTTATGTCATTATTGGGTCACAAATGAAAATTTACATTATTAACACATCAGTTTATTATTTAGAAATATCACAACACTCGGTAAAACCTGTTTGGTACAGTCCATTCTATTATCAACAAGAGTCAGTCAACATATAACTGTTCCAGTAATCAACTTGTTACCCACATATCTGACTTGCTCCCTCATGTGTTTCCTAATGGTCGTTTAAAGTTTAATGGTTATTTTTATCATTAGTAGCTTATGGTTTTGGTAGTGGAACAAACAAGTGAAACATGCCAAATTGAACAGTTAACTGATCACAGTACTCACAATATGGTGCGCTTCATTGGGATGCTGATATATGCGGATTCCTGGCAGTATGTCATTTAATTTACCATCCTCAACTCTGATTTCCAGACTCAGTGTGACTTCATGGACAATTTTCTCTCTGAAGATGTAAACATCTGCCTGTAAGATTCAAACACTGTCTAAATTATTCCATTTACAATATCAATGAATATTTTGATGACAGCAATTACAAAATTAAAAAAAAAATAAAAAGAAAAGGGGGAGAAAGACAACTTCTGAAATTCTGTGTCTATTACAGTATTGGAGTCATGATGGCATAATAGCTAGATGCTTGCCTGGTGATCCAAAGGTCTTGAGTTCAAATCCTCATTAGGACTGACTTTTACAATTCACAAAAGATTCCCAGATCAACCCAGCCTAAAAATGGATACCAGGAATTGTCCTGGGAAATGGCTGGCCTGATCTAGACCCATCACCCACAGAATGCCCATTAGTCTATACAAATATGGGTCTAGCACCACATACCCGATGAGCAACTGGTTTGAAAAGGGTCCTTAACTTATATTAGCTTTCTATTCTTGTATAGTTTTAAGTCATTAAAAATGGCTTTTCATTTTTATTTAATGTTTAATTTTTTTTTAATAATTTATTTTTTATTTCACTGTAAATTTTGTGTATGCTGTCTATGTTAGTTTTTAAACACCCAATTTGTATTAATGGTCTCTTTATACGCGTTGCTGTGGCCCAGAATGGTAAACTGGAAAAGACAGAAAATAGAAAGTGCACCTGTCTAATATGGTTAATATCAGTCACTGCACAGCTACAGAGATGGTCTGAGATGCCAACTCTAGAACATGCAACATATCAGTGAATGTCGATATTAGTGGTTGAATAAAGTGCACTGTTAGAGAGAGAAAAAAAAAGATTATTTGTTTATTGAGGCTAAAGCATCTGCTGTGCTTAAACAGGTAAAAGTAAAGCTGACTGCTATACCTCTAACTGACCAACAAACTGGCACCCAAAAAAAAAAAATGAGAATAGCTGAGGAAGAGGTATTAAAATATAAGTATGTAAGAAATGAGAACTGTAAAATAAAGTTATAAGCTCTCTGAGCTAACAGTGTCTGTCATAACCACCACCCCCCCCCTTTTCCCCAATCATATCTCCCTCTCAGAATGATTTAACAATTATCACGTGGCGACATTGTTAAAATACAAATAGTTAAGAAATGAGAACGTTAAAATAATATTTTAAGCTCTCTTAGTTAACAGTGTCTGGCATCAACCACCCCCCCCCTCCCCCGTGACAATCATATCATGAAGTATGGGAAAGTCAGTGCCTGACAAAATATTGTTGTAAAATTGAGCTTGGCATCCGTGTCCACCCAGACAAAAATGGGTAGCATTAATCTGTACTGAGAAGTAAATGTGGCCAGTGTAACAGCTACCACATCACCCATCGAGTACCAGTACTACTGCTACCACTACCACCACCACCGTCACAACAACAACACAGAATGGTCACTACTGTCTGTACAGGTCTTTGTAGCCAGAGGAGTTGGCGCCGCGTGCTGTCACCACGGACTGTTTAGTTTAAGTTTGCCTACGACATAAAACTCCATCACCTAACCAGTGGTGGAACCCACAGTAATATTCCGTGATTAAAAAAAAAAGTAAACTATACTCATAAATAGTGGAAATAAAAATCTGCACTCGTCATCTCTCCCTCTCCGAAGGGACAATTTTTAATTAACCTTGGCATCCGTGTCGACCCAAACCAAACTGGACGGTAAGCCTTCTTAGTTAACAGTTTCTGTCATCAACGAAAAGTTTTTGATCAAGTGAAGCGTCAGGGGGAGGCTAATTTGGACTGTACTGAAATCGGATGTCTTTGGGCGTGAGGCGCAGATATCGCAACCTAGCTGTAAACCACAAAACAACGTGCCAATCCCCCCCTTTAGGGGAAAAAGAAAAATTAGCACCCAGGGGGGAATCGAACACTGGTCATCCGTGTGAAGGGCAGAATACTTACAACTCTACTACCAAAGACTGAAGACTTTAGGTCAGATATCGCAGCCTAGCTGTAAACCACAACACAATGTGCCAACCGCCCTCTCAAGGGCGAACAAATATTACCCGTGACATGAACGTTGAGCATCACGTCGCCGCTATCGCAGGCTAGCTGTAAACCCCAAAATCGTACGGGGAAAAAAAGCGTAGATATTGCAGCCTAGTTATAAACCACAACAAAACATGGCAGCCACCCAGTTACGACCCCCCTACCCCCAAAAAAATTTATATCACCCAGCGGGGAATCGAACCCCTATCACCAGTGTAAAAGGTGAAATGCTTACAACTAACTATGCTAACAACTATTCAACCATTTAGTAGAAGTGAAATTATATAATAATGTGAAGTTCGGTGTTACACACAGAGTCAAAAGTGGCAAACAACTAAAAACAAATCCGGGCCGGCAATGAAACCACTAATGAAATGATCGTTGCTGGAGCTACGTCATTCGTGGTTTGTGCAAAACTTGTACATACAAACATGCGTGGAGTCTAAGGCAACGTTGTGTGAAAATTTGAAAGTGATCGATAAAGAAATGTTGGAGATTGATCCTGGGGGAAAAGGCATCTATTGGCAGCCCTGCTCAGCAGTCGAAGGTGGCCAATCAACTAAAAAAAATCCGGGCCTGCGACGAAACAAATAATGATTTGACCGTTGCCGGAGCTACGTCATTTGTTATTTGTGCGAAAACATGCTTTGAGTCAAAGGCAACGTTGTGTGAAAAATTTAAAGCAATCGGTTCAGTAGTGTCCGAGTCTATATTTAACAAACTCGGAAAATTAACATTTTTATTAATATAGATTGACTTCAACCACATGTTATCATCATGCAGCATGCCAAGAAGTTCTGATAATTTTGCCCAATCAGTCTCTGCGACTGTAATATAGAGCTAATCATGGTGTATGGAAGGGAATTAGGGACAGCTGATGGTGGGATATATGCAAGCAATAGAGATGCAGTTTTATAGATGATTATAATACAGATGGAAAGATAAAAAAGGAAAAGAGAATTGGTTAACTACACATTTGAGCACATAAAGAATAAGAGAAAACTGGAACATGTTGTGGTAACAAGAAAACTGGAAGAAAGGAGAATCAAGGACTAATTAATCAATATACTCTGTAAGCATTAAAGCACAAAGTAAAATCTGCACTGGAAAGTGTTCTCATTACACAAGACAAGCGGCTGGGGAAGACATGAGAGCTAACACTATACAACATCAATTATATATAAGAAAAATAATTATCCTTAATATTATCAAAAACTGGTGAGCATCTTGTCCTAATGATGGTAATTGACTGTTCTTGTGAATTTGCCTCCAACAATATGTGAATACTGCTTCTTAGCTGTTCATTTCCCCTATGTGAGTTCTGGGGCCCCAATCCGGAGAGCAAAGAATAAACTCACTGCCCCCCCCCAGCAAGCATGTCATAGAAGGTGACTAATTAGGGATCTTTCCTTCAGAGTTGAGGGCATCTGCCACAAAGGCAAGGAACCAAGTCTGCATACAAATAAGCCAGACATATTGAATGGATGTGCATGAGAAACTGAAATTTTGGATCAAAACCAAAGTCCAGGAGTGGAAGAACAACCATAACTTTCAACGGAAGTGTACAACCAGTAAACACATAGAACAAGAGGTTGCTCATTGGATTCTTGGCATTCTATTAAGAAACCACATCTCTGTGACCATTAGATTCTTTCTAATTCTGGTTTTTACTGGCATATCAGAATATCTCCCTTGTTCAATACGAGTGTGAGTGTTCCCGTAGCTTTTGCTATTTTCATTCTAGCTGAAAACTCCCAGCAAGATCTCACACCCGGCTGAACAGATCTTTCTCATTGTCACAGAGTACTGCAGTTTTCCATTTCTCCTGATTTGGCAAAAGACTCTGGAATTTCTCCTTTTGATAAGCTAATTTCTTTAAAGACATCTTAATAACACATTTTAAAAAGTTCGTAGTGTTCTAATAATTTATAATTGTGTTTATAAACCATAGAGTACACCACCATTAAAAAAAAACAAAAAACAAAAACTGTTGATGTTTTTATCAAATACAAGTATTAGATTATAAATAAGTTTCATAATGGACAGCATTCAAAGTTACAACTCATCTTCAATTCCCATATATACTATATAACCTCTGCAGCTTTCTCTTATGTCAGTCTAATAGAATCAGGCATCTGTAGGTAGTGCAGAATAAATCACACACTGGGATATGGTATTATGTGTAAATATACAGATACAGTCAGCACATTTATCATGTGGGTATCACACTTGTCAACTTACATAGGTTAACCTGATCAAAGTGTCAGAGATATCCACACGAACAATTTCAACCCCACGTTCTTGATCTTCAACAAATTTGGAAGCTAAATGAGGAGAAAAATGAAATAATGTGAATGAATCACAGCAATATTTTTAAATTCATGTTATCAGTCACTAGGCATTTAAATCATCAGTGAAGAATGAATTTTTTTTTGGGAGGGGGGGGGGGAGGGGGGAGGGATAAAGTTTATATTGCTCTAGAACATGGAGATATATGTGTTCTTGTTCATTACTGGGCAAGTCATACCCGGGCAAGTTTCCGGAGATGTATAGGAGATACATAGATGATGGCGTTGGTATCACCGAAATGTCCATGGTTGAGCTTGACCAATTTATTAATTACATCAACAATTTCAATCCGGCTATCAAATTCACCTCACTGATCTCAACCACTTCAGTTAACTTTCTTGACATCACGATTAGCATCGATTTTCCGTGTCTGAAAACCACAGCCTACTACAAACCCACGGATTCTCACAGTTATCTCCTCTATACGTCTTCTCACCCACTACCGTGTAAAAATTCTATTCCCCCATATTCACAGCTCCTTCGATTGCGCAGGTTGTGCTCTGATGATTCTGACTTCTTTGATAAATCAGTTGAACTTCTTGAATTCTTCCGTGCCCGTTTCTATCCGGAACACATTCTACAAGGGGCTCTAAACAAAGTTTTAGCAATCACCAGGAGAGATGCTTTTCCTACCAAACGTAACTCCACCAATGATGCACCTAAATTGATCTTGACTTTTCACCCTAACAATGTGGTTGCTTCCAAAGTATTCTTTCGTCATTTGGACATCCTCCGCTCTGATCCGGACACCAAAATTATCTTTAGTGAGAAACCTAGATTAGTTTACAGACGAGATCGCAACCTTAAAGACATACTTGTCCGAAGCCGACTCCCACCGATCCACACAGCACTTCCTTTTGGGACTACTCAGTGCTCACGTAGCACCTGCAAGACATGTCCTTTTCGTTGTCCAGACTTCTTCGGTCAGTTTCCCTAATGGTTCTTTTCAAATTAGGGAACCTTTTACTTGCGAATCCGCAACGTAATTTATGCAATTATCTGCAAACGATGCAGCAAGGCATACATTGGAGAGACTGGCAGGAAGCTAGCTGATCGTTTCCCCTCTCCGATATCGACAAGAAGACATCAAACCAATCCCTCTTCATTTTAATAGCCCTGACCACAGCGGTAAAGATGACATACTGTCACAGCATTAAAATCTTTGCTCTGGCGATCATACTACCCGCCTCGCTTTGGAAAAATCGCCTTATCCACAGCCTTGGCGTTCTTAGTCAAGAGGTATAAATATCCAACATACCTTCATCTAAATAGTTCTAATCTTAGTTAATTTTTTTATTTTATTTCATATTTATTACCTTATTGTCTATTTCTTATCAGTATCATTTATGTATCATTAACCACTTGCATTTCTTTTGATTCCCAGTATTGTGACTATATTTTTTTAGCCATGTTTATTTTATTTTATTTCATTTTTTTCCGCATCACATTTTTTAAAAGCGCTCACGTCACCCCTTAGAGATCTACATACTCTCCATTCCTCGTTTGTGTCTTTCACTTGTGTTTGAAAAAAGGCTGCCCAGCCGCAACGTTACGTTTGTTGTTTTGTGCACGTTTTCCTCTTTCCCATTTTGTTGAAGTCAAATTTCTCTGGAATGATGATTAACATAAATTATTTGTGCATAATTAATTGTTTACTTTATATTATAAAGCTCCTCTTGTGGGTTTCAGGGTCCCATTTTGGAAAAAAAAAGGGGGGGGGGAGAACTCACCCCCTTTAACAAGCATGTCATAGGAGGCTACTTATTAGGAGTGCTTCTTTCAAAGTTAGACAGCATCTGCCCAAAAGACAAGAAACCAACAGTCTGCATACAAATAAGCAAGATGTAAAATGGATGTGCATGTGAATCTCAAGTGCTGGAACACGATCAAAGTCCAGAAGTGGATGAATGAAAACAAATTCCCACCAGAGTTTACAACTGCTGAATGCAAAGATGAAGAAGAAAGTTTTACACAGCATGAGGGAGTCTTAGTAGTGCAGTGGCTTGCATGCTGGCTTGTCAGTCCATCCAGTACTCTGTATTTAGTTCCCCTTTGAGGCTAGGATTTATAAAACTGATCTCGGCCATGAAAATAAAATGGCTGGTGTTATACCATATCATGTTTTGGGTTATCTTTGGTCTGCATCCTACACCCAAAACTCTAAAACAAAGAAAAGGGCTAAATCCTAACATATCCAGGTTTTCTTCTTTAAAGGAATATTCATGACTGTGTTAATGAGAATTTTAGATCCCTTATATTTTTATATCCTCTTACTTGTGGTATATAAGTTTTAATATGTTAGTCACCGAAATTCATTAAGTGGGAACAGATTTCACAGAATTTACCAAAAAAGAGGAAGTTCAAAAGATAATGGTCCTACTGTGAAGTGTCAAATAAGTCTAAACAACGGTTGCAATTAAAATCCTTTTGCTTTGTCATACTAGGAGCAGTCGTGGTGCAGCAGCCAGATGCTTGCGAATGGATCCAAAGGTTGTGGGTTCAAATATGTATGTTTCAAACACAACCTTAGCTTCCAGGCCACCCATCCTTAAATGCATACCAAGTAAGTTCTAGGAAGTAAAGGCAGCCGGCGAGATGTTGGCCACATCAGCCATCGAGGGCTGATTGGTCTGTACAAACTTGAGTCTAACCTGACACGCCACTGGCATGTAAAGGGACCTTTACTTTGTCATTCTAGTAAAAATAAACTGAGGTATTACATGGGGTGGACAATGAATCAAAGAATGCCGTAAAGATCAATAATGAATGAAGATCCCATAAATATTATTACCAGTATAGAATCAACTATGCCCTTCAACATCTGCTAAAGTCAAAGTGTCTGTCTCGCAACACCAAGATCAAAATATATAAAACGTTGAAAAGACAGTAGTTTTATATGGCTCTGAAATTTGGAGCACAACTAAAAGAGAAGAAGCCTTATTGCAGATTTTCAAAAACAGTCTTACGAAAAATCTTTGGACCCATCAAAGATGCTAACAGCGGGGAATGGAGAGTGAGAAGCATCAACAAAATTCATAATCTGTTTAAATCACCACTGATCACTGGCATCATGAGACTGAAATGGTTGGGGCATATTGAAAGAATGTCAGATGACAGAGAGGTAAAAACTGTAAAACCAGGGAGATGAATGGTTGTAGACCACGAGGGAGACCAAGAAGACGATGGAGAGATAATAACCAGACAGACTTGCAAACACTTGGTGTTACCAACTGGAAAGAGAAGGCCAACCAGAGAGACGAATGGAGGCGGGTGATATCTGCAGCAATGAACCTCAAGGGCTCGGAATGCTGAAGAAAAAGAAGTATAGAATCAACTACTACAGAGTCATTCTATTTAGCAAATTATGTTTTAATGAATAACTGTCATTATCCATATGGTGTTTATAACAGATTAATAAATCAAATAGACAGATGATCTAGCAGTTCTTATAACTCATGGTAGTCATTTAGTTCAAATGTACATCTATAAAGTTGAAGTCAAGAGGATCTACTTCATTGCACCAGGTGTATTCCCATATGGATCTGTCATCTCTGCTAGCTGCCTGATGAGAGTGCTACACAAAGCATGAGCTTCATAGTTCTAGCAAGAATTGCCTGGGATTTCCATAAAAATTGCACTCATGGACCCAAAGATGCATAGAAAATGAACTTACGACCTTCAGAAGGTAAGAAAAATTAGCTTGACCTCTTCACCACAGAGACCCTAATATAACGTTTTTATAACATTTCATAGTCAATTGTTCAGTGCAAATTTACAGTGTTTTTCGTGTCATTAAATGACTGTTTTAGTATTGCAAGTCGAGATAGACACCTATAGCCTTAGACTGGTATCTCATTTACCCTCATTTGTTTTTCCACATAGAATTTGTGAGTAGGTGTGTTTATGATGAGTGTCAAGTAGGCAGGAAAATGTTAGCTAACTTTTCTCCCATAAGTAAACCTAAACTACCATCTTCACTGAGATGGATAAATTTATTGATTTCACTTAACTGATGATAAAGGGGTTTTATTAAAGTGGCAGTACAATAAGGAGTGCCATGCCATTAATGTGCCAATGTAATAAGTGGTGTCATTAATGTGCCATTTAATACTGAGTGTCATTAATGGACCAATGTCAACTATGAAAATGAAATGGTTACATTAACTGCAGTTTATAACATATAGAAAATGACATGAAATTAGTATTTCCTATCAGAGGATGGAAACATATATTCTTACATATTACATTTCACAGGATGGATTCTTAGACAATTAGTCAACAAACAAAAATATTTCTTAAAGCTACAGAAGTATGGTTTTTCACAGAAAAGTTAAGAATATCTTCATCATCAAAAGTTAATGTCTAATAGTTGTAAAAGAGACCATGACAAAATGACAACTGTTTTAAAAGAGACCAAGAAGCACTACAAAAAGAAAGAGAACAAATTATTTGATGACAACATTAAAAAAAGGAAAATTGTAACATACACAATCCATTCTATTATTAATGCAAACAGAAATGTTGAAATAAAGAGTGTTTGATCCACATGCTGCGAGGCTGTATACGAGAAGAGGACGAGAGGGAAATAGTATCAGGGGAGGGAGAGAACATTAATTTCAAAGGGTCACATAACCAGCATGCAGGCTTGCCTTACATTCAGCTACCCTAAGACTCATTTTTCATGTAGCAACTGCATTTTGTCTATAAAGCATATTATGTTCGGAGAAATATACATAATATGAATTTAAAGTCAAAACACAAAAGTATTGACAGCAAATGCACACACACACAAGCACACACACATATATCAGACCCTAACACTGACAAAGATGCACGTGTGTGTACGCATGCACACACACCCAAACACACAAGCCAATAATAACCCAAAATTAATACTGTAACCATTTAATAAGGATACAGTAATTCTAGTAAGATATTTTACTTACATGGCAAGCCTGGCATTCCCTGTGAAAACAAGCATATATAAATCATCATTTTATTATATTTAAAAAAGACCAATTTAGTTATCCCTTCTGGGCTCAACTTTACCTCGATATATTTTTCAAGAGGTTCTTAAACATGTATTATCCATCACAAAGGGAGAGGCTTCCCCACTAAATCCAGTCCAAATTATACATAATTTTCCAGTCAAATAAAAAACTGCCAGCTTCTAAAATAGTCAACTGCTACCTCTGCACTCGCCGTAGTGTAGCAGCTAGATGGTCGTCTGTGAATCGGAAGGTCGTGGGTTCGCTCCCTGGCGGAGCCAGACATTTTTTTTCTTCAAAAATGACCTTGACTCTCAGGTTGACGCAGCCTTGAGTGTGTACCGGGATAGTCCCGGGAAGTAAAAGCGGCCAGTGTGATGCTAACCACATCATCCATCTTGTGCCAACTGGTCTATAAAAATATAGGTCTAGCCCTATATGCCCTATACACCTAAAGGCGTGGAAAAGGATCCTTTACTTGTTTTTACTACTTCTGCACAGATTTGAATTCTCAGAGAATCTTCACTGGGAACCTCAGAGGGGTTTACAGGTGAGACTATAATGGCAGAAGCAGACTCCTGCTGGTCCACATAGAACTTCCTTTCAACTTAGGGAATATCTGATACAGACATTCACAATTAGGCTTTTCCTTCCATGTTTACAGACCTGATCAAGAGTTTCTAACCCTGCCAAAAATCTTGCTCAGACAATCACTACCGTCTTACTTTGGAAAATCACCTAATTCATTGCATTTGTCAATTTAATAGGGATTAATGTTCAACAATCCTTCATCTAAAATGGTCATTTCTTTTTAAACTTAATTTATCAGTATGTTTAAAAAAAAAAAATGCAATCATCTATTTTTCAGTTTCCCCATTTTCCTGTTTCTCTATTCATGTTCTGTTTCTCAACACTGTTTCCTCTTCCTATTATTTCCATGTGAGTTCTCAACATCCTCCTTTTGTTAAAATATTTCAATTATTCCTGTTTTGTCTGCTGATAAAGATTTACATCAAAAGGGTCAGTTGTCTCTGTTGTGAGCTTCCCAATCATATTTTATGTCTGTGTTTACTAAGTTGTTAGATATTCTTAACATTCTTAATATTATAAGGTATTCACACCATAAACACACTTGTTTCATGGTTAAAAAAAGTATACTATTTTTTTAAGACATACAATTTTGACTGTATCATTTTGGTCACAATGTAAAGTTTTACCTTTTCATTTTCTGTTGACTGCTTGTAAGAGCTGTCAAATGAGTAGAGTGAAGTCTGAGATGAAGGAGTTTTTTCATAGTCTGAAGGAAAATGAAAATAATGTAACCAATATGAAGAAGAATATATCAAAGATGCTGTCCTCAAGAAATTTAAAAAAAATACTTTTAACGCCTAATTATGAGTGACTGATTAAAATGTCTGTGATAAGTTGTCTTCAGGCTCCTGCCTCTTTCAAAACCTCTTGGTTGCTCTTTTTGTCTGTCCAAGGTATTTTAAGCATTCTTCTGTAAAACCAGAAATTGTTTGGCCTGTCTATCGATAGTCAGGATTCACACCCATATGTTAAAACTGGATGCATGTAGCAAGCAAGAATTCTTTTTCTAACCCTCAATGACAAAGATATATTGCATAAGATGTTCTTTATTTTATCAAATGCAGTTTTTGCCTGTCCCATTCTCTTTCATATCTCATTAATGCATCTTCCATCTGATGTTATCCATTACATTTCTGTACTTGTCCCAAAATAACACAGGTGAATTTTATTATACATTTAGGAAAATTTATTTTCTTTGATATCACCATTACTTTTGTCTTTCTTTTATTTAAATTGAGGCCCATTCTTTCACTTTCTACCACCACAATGTCTATAATTTCCTGTAGCTCTTTTTGACTTGTTGCTATCAAGACTGTGTCATCAGCATAACGTAAATTGTTTATATTGTGCCCACCAACCACAATTCTAGGCATATCAATTAAAGATCTCATTATTTATTCACTGTATAGTAAAAAGAAATCAGGTGACAGTACACATCCTTGTCCCACACCCCTCTTTATACTTTGAAATGTACCTAAACAGTTGTTAATTTTTTATAGTTGATGTGTGCTGCCAATACAATTTATTATTCGTAGATCTTTTCCATCAATGTTAAATTTTTCTAACAGTTTGATTACTTCTTCAATGTATAATCTATAAAGCATAAGTACAAATCAGTCTTTGCTTCTTTAGCTCATTCTGACCTTATGGCATTGTTTGTACCTTTTCCTTCTATAAATCTACATTGTTCATCACTGAATTCTGGTTTAATTTTGTTTCTTTTTCTTCTCATAATTATTGTCAGTAAAATCTTAGTCATGTGACTTATAAGACTTATTGTGCGATGGTCTCCACATTTTAAATTGCCTGTTCTCTTTGACAGAGCTATAAATATGGATTTTCAAGGGTCATTTGTAATATACTCACTATTATAAAAAAATCACTTAAAAGTTGAGTTATAATTTCAATTCCAAAATCTCCCATTGCTTCAATTTCTTCCAGTGAGATGTTGTCTGGCCCGGGTGCTTTTCCTTTCTTCATATGATGTATTGCATCCTCAACTTCTGCAGTCATTATTGGTGGACCATCATTGTTGGTCTGCAGTTCTAAATCTGGTCTATTATCATCATACAATTCCCCTGTATACTCTGTCCATCTGTTAATTATATTACTAGGTCCCATTAATAAGTCACCATCTTTTGATTTTAAACATCCAGTGCTGTTACATGTCATCTTTTCTGTTAACATATTTATCTGTTGGTACATGGAATGTGAGTCTTTCCTGTGATTTTCCCCAACCTCTGTACACATTTGATTCAGCCAGGCTTCTTTAGCCACTTTGCATTTGTTCACTATTTCTTTTTGTATTCTAGAGTATTCTTCTTTATCATTCTTTTTCTTCCTTCTTTCATCCATCAACTGCAGAATTTCGGTTGACATCCATTTCTTTTTCTATGGGTTGGTAGGATTTTTTCTTTTGATGTCTGCTGAATTGACTCACACAACATATCTCACTGTTCATCAATAGTGTGTATAATTTCCATTGCATTATACCGGTTTTGTACAGTGACATTGTACTGTTCCTAAATTTTTTAATCAGATCTAAGTATTCTTAAATTTATCTTAATGTTCTGTGGTGTTTTCCTAATATTCTTTAGTTTTATTCAAATTTTTCCTACAACTGAAACATGGTCAGTAAAGCAGTCTGCTCCTGGTCTAGTTTTTGCTCCAACTAAGCTGCTCTGGAATCTTCTTGAAATCAAAATATAATCAATCTAATTGCGGACATTATCACCAGGACTTTTCCAAGTCCGTAATCTTCAAGGATGGTGTTTAAACCGGGTGTCACCTATTATCATGCTGTGCGACTCAGCCCATGCTATGAATCTGTCACCTCTCACATTCTTTTCTCCTAGGCCATAGCCACCCGTTATTCCATACACTTTTTCACTTCCTATTTTTGCATTGAAATCTCTAAGTACCATTGTGACTTCACAATTTTTGCATTGATCCACAATCATGTCTAACTCGTCATAAATGCATCAATATCTTCCTCTGAACTATCTGCTGTTGGGGCATAAATCTGTACTAAGCTGATGTCAAATGGTCTGTCATGAAGTTTTACTAATAGTACTCTATCTGATATTGTCCAAAATCCTTTCACAGTTTTTGAGTTCTTTGGATCCAAAATAATACCAACTTCCTTACTATATTCCTTCCCACCTGAGTAAATAATTCTGTACTGATCTGAATACTTTTCCCCTGCTCCTGGCCATCGCATTTCACTGATTCCTAATATGTTGATGTTCATTCTCTTCATTTCCATCTTGATGTTATCCAACTTTCCATTCTGTGTGAGTGTTATGACATTCCATGTACCAACATTCAGGATGTTTCTACCATTTATTTTTTCTACAGTAGCCGGATGATGGTCGGGTATCACCCTGTAGAACATGATGCTCCCTACTGGACGAGGTGATTCCACTGGAATCCCAATTCCCATCGTTATCTGAATTAGTTATGTTTCGAGGCATGATTTTCTAGGGATAATACAGCGGTGGTTTCCCCTTGCCTTTTGCCGGTTTGAATATGGTTTGACTCAAATAGCCTTTGTCTAAAGAGACTTACCCTATAAGGCAGCAGGGGGGAGAGGTTATGGTGCTTCTTACCCGCCGATGGCCATGTCGTAGAGTTTTAAATTATTCTGGTGCTAAGATGTTTATTTTGATCATCCAAACTACAGCACAAAATAATTCAGCACTGAATCAGCTAACGTCTGTCATGTACACATTTGCCTGTATGTTCTTCTCAGCATACATACATGTGTATGCACTTATGTATATCATTTACCTATATTCATTACAAATATAATCTGCCTTTGAAATAGAAACTTTAAAAAAAAAAAAGTAGTATATTCTAAAAGAAGAAACAACTTTTTATCACCTGCTAATCGACATTTTACAATAAACACACACTCATTCAATGTTGTTAAATTTCAATGTAGCATACCATAAAGAAACTGGATAAGCTGCGTTTTAATTTTAGTTACACTGGCACGTTCACTAGGTTCGTAGGCAGCACATTCGCATATTAAGCGATAATGTTCTGTTTTGAAAGAAGGATTTTCAGGCAGACTGACTGTGCCACATACAATCTGCAAAAGTGAAAGTTCATATTAAAACATCCATAAACTAATTGAGGTTACAAGCTAGATAAAAAAATTAAAAAGAAACAAGTAAATATATATATATATATATATATATATATATATATATATATATATATATATATATATATATATATATATATATATATATATATATATATATATATATATATATATATATATATATATATATATATAATAATTTAATAACAATTACCAAACATACTTTTAATGGTTCTGCATCTGTACTCTCAAGACATAGAATGACTGTTTTTATTATTTCTGTGTTTACACTTTTTTGCCCTGAGATGCCGGTATTTGGCATCTTCTTCTTCAGCATCCGTTACAAATCTTCGAGAAGCCCCTGAAAAGGCGGCGGGGGCCTCATAATTTGCCTTTAGCAGTTGCATAGTAATTGTGTCCCAGAATGAGTTACCATGAAAATTTCTCTAAAACATTAAACCCTTTAAAAAAAAAATCATCCGTCACTGAAATTAAACCACTGTACTTGAGGATCATGAAATTGTTAAATGCATTCATTAACCTCGAAGCTACAAAAGCCGCACATCTTTATAACAAATATAGACAATTGTGGCAAAGTTACTAATATAGTATTTTAGGATTCAATTATAGAACTAGTGTGGTTCTTTCATTTTACCTGTCGACAAAATCTGGAATAAAAAAGTGAGCACTTGAGATATCAACGTAAAGGTGCATGACTGCACTGCAATTTTACATTTGCTACTCTGACCACTAAAAATATAAGCCTAACACTAAATTCAAATATAACTTAATGCCACAGACAAAGCTGTTATATTTGACTTGGGTGCAATATAAATAACAATTCTGCAGAAATCGCAAAATTATAATCACACATTTCAGAATTCATGTATTCAGTAAACATACTGAAACTTAGATTCAAACCTTTTTTGACAAATCTTCAACATTTTGTATTTGTGAATATGGCAACTGTCCATGGGTTAGCACCTCATACATCAAATGACCAAACATCCAAATGTCTGAGGCTATGGTGTATTCTGCTTCACTTAAAGATTCAGGGGCAGACCAGTTGGTGGGAATCAATGCTTTCTTAAAGTTTTTCTCTGAAAACAAGTGTGGAAACAATTATGTTGAAAACAGAAAGCACAAGATATTGGCAATGAACAATTCTTGTCATGATCCAACAATAATTTTTTTAGCCCTGGTGAGCTAGAAAAACAAATGTTTCTTTTGAAAAATGACCACTCTATACAGTTCTCTCTCTCTCTCTCACGCACACAGACACACGCACACACACACACACAACTCCTAACAATCCCATTTTTAGACACAAACTAAAACTACATACTGAAAAAATGAAGCAATTAAAAAAACAAAAAACAAAACTAACTAAAGCCACAGTAAATCAACTAGGTTACATCTTCCAGAGGTCAAATAAACTTTATATGACTCATTTTAACCCTGTGACTATTGTGACTAACGGGAAATCACGATGTACTAATTTCTAGAAATAAAGCCAGTTTATCAAAAGAAAATATTCACAAATGCTATGCTTAGCAATTATAGACACTGGTGGACCTATTAAACATTTACTCATGTACAAACTGAATCAATGCTCTTAGTGAGGATTTTTCTTAACAGTCATTATAGTGGTGCATGTTAGGTAGCATTTACGGGCCATGAAAGATCCTGGAAGTGCTGACTTTTGCACACCTCGGGATGACAGGGCTAAGTTGATTTTAGTTGAGTCAAGAATTGACACCACAGCACTCGGGACATTCTCATGTGTGCTCCATCCTCATCTTCAGCAGCCAGCGCAGAGTTCCAATACTGATGGTACCGTCACAATCTGGTTATGTGTCCATCTTGCCTTTTCTGTGGTGAGCCGGCCAGACCCTCTGGTTACACCCAGGTGCCTCATTCTCTCCAGGCCATAATAATCTTGTTTTTCTACTGATTCCATTGCTTACTCCCAAAGGGCCTTAGACACATCTGACTTGTCATGTATCAATTCACCACCCAGTAGTGCAGATCCAGCCAGTCTGTCTTACTGTTCATTACCCACCTTGCCGGCATAGCCTGGAAAAAAAAATCCTGTGACCTTCCCAGTGAAGCTTGCCACTTTGCTCGAAGCATTCCTGCCTTCACTTTTCTCAGCATGCTTTCAGAGTCTGTTTCAATTACAACATGTGTATGCATCTTGTTCTCTAGCCACCGGAGAGCTGCAGTTACCTCCTCCACATCCATTCTCATGTAAGATGTTGTGGTGTCGTATGCTAGGCTGTCTTGCACTAAAGACTTTCCACTGGCTTTCGCTACGAACCCCCCGGCATCTGTCTTTCCTCTCAACACTGAACCATCTGTATAGATAATCAGATCACCTGGGCGTGAATTGTCGTGAATCAACTTCTCAACTTCCACCTCCGTAGCACCTGCTGGCCACTCTCTGCACTCTTGGCCCGATGTGATCATAACCCTACACAGGTCAGACTTTTCCTCAGCTACTCTGCCCACTTCTCTCCTCGCCCAATGTTATTATCCAGCATGCATACTTGTCCTATTGTGTCTTCTGCTTGAGTAATCCATGATTTTTTCCCTTTCAGCCTCTGACCCTTGCCTGCAGCCAAAGCTTCATACAGAGGGTGTTCTTTGTCTGCAGTTACTTTAAGGTTTGACTTAGCCTGCAGCACCTTTAGCCTATTGTAATAGTCGGCAATGCAGGTATGTATCGCATGCACACAATCGGGGTGTCTCTTCTACATCCCAGGATCATCTGGCACAGCTTCATTCTGTATGTGCTCCAGTTTCTCTAGTTGGCTCTTCAAGACAGTTAGTAACCCCAATCTATAATCAGTCCCTGGGATGATTAAGTGCTGGTAAAGTGTGAACAGCATTATCTGCTTCATGTCCATCGCTGTCATAGTCTTTATTGCATTAAGACCTTTTCAAGCCTTTGTCGCACCCCCTCTATGTGATCCTTGAAAAACAAACTTCTGTCAAAGGTGATTCCCAGGTACCTTAGTCTGCTGTCTCTTTTGATGTCCCTGCCATTTATTTTGAGTCTGGGAACATCAGCTCTAACAATCCTGTTGTCCAAAGAACACCACAGCACAAATGTCTGGGTTGATTTCAGTACTCATCTCTGTACACCAGTCTACTTCAGCTGTTTGATTCCGATCTCTCCCATTCCTATTTATGAGAACATCATCTGCAAATGTCAACATTCTGCCAACTCCAGGTGTTTCCAGGTATGCAAATTTGCTTGTAAAAACATTTAACAGTACAGGTGAAACTGAAGATCCCCGTGGTATTCCTGGAGCTATAATACATGGTTCAGAGGTCCATGATCCCAGGCAGAGAGTTACTCGGCAAGTATACAAAACAACTTCTAGCCAGCTCACCAACAAAGGACTGACTCCCTTCTCCATAGGTGATGTCATCAAAATACTGTATCTGACTCTGTTGTAAGCATCTTCTAAATCAAGTGCTGCTGCCACCATTTCATGTCTGTTCTGAAAACCTTCAAAGGTATCAAAGCCGCTGAGTGTTGAATGATACTTGCCAGGCTTAGGAAGTGGAATCAGGTAGCTGTGCATCCACTCTTCTGGGACTGAAGCTGTCCTAATGCTCTGGTTGAAACAAGCAGTCATCTCCACCAGGTCTGCATTACTCATGTCTTTCATGTGGGAATATTTAGCCCCGTTGGGCTCAGGTGCAGTGTCTTTCCTCTTTTTCAGAACACATTTTGTATCTTCCACCTGTATGATGTCTTCATAATGTTCTTTAAAATGGCTGCCAGATCTTCTCTAACTGTATCTCTGTTATCTCCACCATTGTGCTCTGTGAAAATCAGTAAAGTCTCCCCCTTATCTTTGTCTGTGGTTAATAGCATACCGTCATCTCTATGAATTGCTTAAACTACGCTGGGCCGATCATCCTTCAGCATCTGCCTATGTAGCTTCCAAAACTTTCCCAAAGTCTTATCGCCCCAATCTCATCAATAAAATGCTCCCATTTTCCTTTTTTAACCTCTGCCCCACAGTGCTTGAAAAACTTGTATCTAATCTTTCTTATCTCTTTCCACGCACTGCAACTCCTCCTGTGAGCTTAGGGCTGTCTGCTGCACTTTCTTTAAACGCTTAACTGCAGCTCTCTCTAACTTCCGTGCCTGTTCAACCTCTGATGTCCACCATGGTGGCTGCACAAAAGTAGATCCACCTGTCGTCTTACATGTCCTCTGTCAGAGGAGTTGGAATGATTCTGATTCAACTTGGAATGAATCGTGGTCTACTTGGAATGAACCTTGGTTTGCACCGGCTTCAACGTCTAGGGTTGACAACACAAACGCCACTCAGCTTCTTTGTAAATGCTATCAGTTTATTCTGGTCCATGTATTCAACATGCTTAAACAATTATTCTCAATTCTATCACTCGTGACGTATTCGAACACTAACCATTCGCGCAACATAAAGATGACATCTTCAATTACTACAACCGTCTTCCCTGACTTCTGATGATCGACTGACCACGAGGCTAGCTCGGGCTTCCCCTCGCTTACTCCACCGGCCACAAGTATCTCGTGCCGTCACTTGTAGCACGGACTTCCTGCTTGCCACAATGTACTCGTGGAGACCATGCAAAGCAGGGTCATCACAGGAGTCCAAGAAGGGTGTTAATCAGTTCATACTTGAAAGGCCTATGAGCTCTTGAAGCCTTGACTTTCCTGGATTTGGAAATCAATACCGAACATAACAGATGGTCACTTCCATGATCGCCCAGGACAGTCCATTTGGTGTCCAGTACTGCTGACGGGAAACCAAAGCCAGGTTAATAGCCGTGTCTGCATTATCGAGCGTCACTGCCATTCTAGTTGGCCTCCCATCATTTAAGCAGATAAGGTCTGAATCAACCATGGCATCAGCAAGGGCAACTCCCTGTTGGTTTCCCAAGTACTGTCCCACTGATTGTCCCGTACACTGAAATCCCCACAGATGAGGAACCTGTTGCCAGAGATCCCCTCCAGGTTTTTTAGCCAGTCCCACAGTTGCTTTGTAACTAAAGAGCCCACGGTAGCATATACATAAATTATGTTCCAACGTAGGCCCCCAATCTCCATCTGTATTCCCTGCACCTCTCTAGCATCATGATTCCAATGACTCGGGTCAAGCACCACATGTTTCAAACCCTCCCTCACTAGCAGACATTGCCCATGTCTTCCATGATGTCCAGCAGGGCTTACGTAGCTCACATATCCAGGGCAAGCAAGAAGGGTTAAGTATGAGGCTGGACAGAAAACAAAATGTATCCACCTCTTCTTGTGACTTTTGTTATCCCTTTTGTTTCCAGGCTTGCAATTTATACTCTCAAAAAACTATTTCAGACTGCTCACAAAGCCTGCAGTTTATACTAGGGCTGTACCGAATATTCGCTTTGTATTCGCTTTGGGGTCGAATAGTGGACTTAATAACTATTCAGTATTCTGCCAAATACTTGCGGTTGGGCTGAATACGAATAGTGGTTACCTTACAACCATTTTGCATACACTGCGATGGAGACTGAAATAACTCTCTCATTAACACAATAGTTGGTGTTGCCTAAGTCTGTCGTAGTGGGGGGGCAACTGTGCAACCCGGTTGCGTGGTACAGCAGCTGGCAGGGCCTTTGTCTGCTGACTCGACTGAGGCATTACAGCAGAGGTTCTCAAACTGGGTGCATATGCCAGGGGTGCCGCGGCGAAAATCAAGAAAAGTCGGCAATAAATTGTGACATTATTAAAAAAGGCATGAAGATACTTGAAATTAAAAATTTTAATTGTCTTTTCTTGCCACTGTCAAAAAGAGTTTTTTTGCTTGTTTCACACTCAAAGTGTATCATACTGCATAAAATGCCAACCGCAGCGTGCTAAAAATTGTCTTTGTACTTATCTTGAGGTGCGACTGATCCTCCATCTGTATTTGTGAAGGTGCAGCGGATAAGTAAGGTTGTGATTACATTTTGGCTGAAATTTTAAAGTGGAAAATGTGCTCTGTTCAATAGTCACTGTTAGCCTTGTCAAGTAAGCACTTATATTTAAAGGTGATGCATTGTGAGTCCTCGACAATCGGTAGGCAGGCCAAACAATTTCTTGAGGCCTCAGAGATGTGGTTTTACAGAACAATGCTTAGAATACCTTGGAAAGCCAAAAATAAGCAACAAAGAAGTTTTGAAAGTTGTGTTGGCCAGAAGACAACTAATCACAGAGATCAGAAGGAGACAGTCATCATTTTTCAGCCATGTTATGAGAAGAGGGAAAATAGAACATGTGGTGACCACTGGAAAGATCTGTGGAAGGAGGGATAGAGGAAGACAACAAAAGAAGATTCATGACAGTCTTTTTGCATGGCATGGAGGTGTGTCAGCTCACGAACTAATACATGCTGCAGGAGATCGCAGATTGTGGCGAGGCATATTTGCCCGCGCCAGTCGGCAAGGCACCTGATGATGATGATACACTTTTCGTATTCGTATTCAGCCAAATAGTTGGTCCCACTATTCGTATTCGGCCAAATAGTGAAAATCACTATTCGGTACAGCCCTAGTTTATACTTTTAAAAAAGTGTTTTACTCTGCTGCACATTGCAGTATGCATACCTTCCTGTCGACTTGGTGGTCATGTTTTTATATTCTTTTCTAGATGGGACATTTTTGTTTTTTTAAATCTGACCTCTGCTCCTGAAAAGTATTTTACACTGGTCACAAAGCTTGCAGTTTACACGTTACAAAAATGTTGTTTTACTCTGCTGCACAATTCAGTATGCATGCCTTCCTGTTGACTTGGTGGTCATGTGTTCAAATTCTTTTCACGATGGTTTGTTTTTTAAAAGCTGACCTCTGCTCTTGGATTGATAAAGCCTAAACTGAAGTCTAAGAAATGTTATGGGAAGTAAAGGAGTCGGTGCAATATTAACTATATAGCACCATAACGATCAACGGGATCCATTACTGTTTTGACTGTTTTTAAAATATATAATACAGTAAAACCTGGTTAAGAAGAATACTCAGCTAACATAAACATAAACTGTTGTCCTAGCAGGGATGTAATATTGTCTCCAAACTTGGTGTAATTCAGCGACTTGTTTAGTTTTCTGCTTCAACTTGATGCCTTTCATTTCCACAGTAAATGTTATATAAAGCATCAGTTTCAAGTTTGCAGCATCTGGTATATTTGTTGGAATGTGCAAACTGAACTTTCTAAATTTACAATTATATAATTCAATAAGAACTTACTGTCAATTTTTCCTCGACCATCAACAAGTTCAAGGCATAAGTGAAACCCACACAACTTGGCCTGATTGTCAGCTACTATAAGTAAACTTTCACAGGTCAGGTTACAGTGGACATGTAGCTTGCTATGACAGTACTCCACAGCAGACAAGGCATCAGACAAGAACTTGAACAAGGTGGTCGGGTGGTAGAAATCCTGGTTATCTCTCTTGTATTTCAATGCCGTCTTTGCACACAATGAATTAACAAACAAAAAATAGTTATCAACTCAGAGAAATGTAAACAAAAGCAATTCAAATGCTCTTCTTTGAACACCTAACACAACCCTTGCTTGCCTTTCTTGCTCTGCTGTCATCTAATAAATTTCACATTCTAATAAACTTTCATAACTCAAAGAGATGAAGCCTTATTACAGGTTTTTGAAAACAAAGTCTTACGACGAATCTTTAGACCCATCAAAGATGCAAAAAGTGGGGAATGGACAGTGAGAAGCAACAACGTAATTCATAATCTGTTTAAATCACCTTTGATCACTGGCATCATGAGAGCTAAAATGTTTGGGGCATATTGAAAGAATGTCAGATGACAGTGAAGTAAAAACTGTATACACAAGAGAGATGAATGTCGTAGACCACGAGGCAGACCAAGAAGTCGATGGAGAGATAATGTCCAGGCAGACCTGCAAAAACACCTATTGGAAAGAAAAGGCCAACCACAGATATAAATGAAGGCGGGTGATATCTGCAGCAATGAAACTCAAGGGCTCAAAATGCTGAAGAAAAAGATTACATTTTCGTAGTTATGTCATGGGTCTATCTTTCTGAATGTTATGTATGTAATGTACTTAGAAGTAAATAAGTAGAAGATTCTTTTCATGCAATTTATGCATAGGAAATGTGCTAGATCCAAACATTTTACAGACAATCAGTACTTGATTCACTTGAGACCGATGGCTACTTTTACTTCTCAGGACATTTCCTGGTACCGATCTTTAGTTAGGATAAACCTGGCTGCCAAATCAATTATAAAAATATGTCCAGATGTGGATTTAAATGAAGAACTTTTGCTCATCAGGCAAGCATCTAGCCACTTCGCTACCACAGTTCCTATGAAATGTACTAATAAAACTGGAGGACTGCATTTGGTGTTATTTTTTTTAAACATTTATCAATATTTTGTCTTTATAAAAGAAGAAATGATTCTTTCTGATAAGGTAATATTCTTCAGTTACTTTTAGCATGTTTGTAACCATGGCCAATAAATGTTTCTAATCTTACATTCATTTAAAACATCTTACCAGTTCATTCAAGTCACCTTACCTGCCCACTTGTAAAATGCATTATCATATAATAAACAAGTTTACAAAAAGTATACAATGAAAATATGAATAAAATAGGCATTACATCATTATACAGTCATATCATCAACATCATAAGGTGCTTTGTCGACTGACATGGACAATTATGATCTCCACAATCTGTGATCTCCTGCAGCATGTATCAGTTGGTGTGCCCGACACACCTCCATGCCATGCAACAAGACTGTCAAGAATCTTCTCTGGTTGTCTTCCTCTATTCCTCCTTCCACAGATCTTTCCAGTGGTCACAACATGTTCCATTTTTCCTCTTCTCACACATATATATTTCTCTTAATAGCATTCACTGATGAAAATTGACACTTTCTATCTGTTATAACCATGAGGACTAAAGAGGGTATTACTTATGCAAAATCTACTACTACCAGTACCTTAGTGATGCTTTTATCACTGAGTCATAACCAAAATAAATTACTTTGTGGTGTAATTAAGTAAAATGTCAGCATTACAACATCTCACCTGCAAATTGATCTGTATATGTTCCACAACATAAAACAATGGAACATGGCTGTCTTGAAAAGCAAACATTTTGATGATGTTTTTGTGCTGTAACTTTTGCAGCACTTTCATCTCATTAGAGTAAAAATCTTCTCTACATCCTGTCTCATTTTTAAATCTGTGACTTCTGACATCAGGAATGTGCACATGAACTAAAACTTCCTGACCACTGAATTTGGCCTTCATTATTTTCCACGCATCCTCAATGCATTTTGTCTTGAGTTCAGGCTTGTCCTGTGAATATATAATGTTATAACCTTGAATGGTTTTGTAAACACACATAGTAAGCAGTGGTTACAGATCATCAGTCAGAAGTCATCTTAATGAGAATGTTACAGTCCATTACTATTCTCTGGGAGTGGGCCTATCTGGATCATGACCCTGGTGTCTTTCTCCTAAAACATAAAACATGGGTTATTGGTAATGATATTTCTCCTGTATTTGCAATAATATAATGGGCATGATAACAAACTGTTACTGTATCATTGCTGGTTCCAGGGCATACTGACAGTTATGATGATCTGTCTCTGACCCAAGTATACTGAATATGATGTGTTGTATGATTTTTTTTTTAAACCTATTTGGTTTAAAAAAAAGAAAGAAATGAGAGAATAGCTTATTTCTTTTCTTCTTCTTTCTTCTTTTCTATAGTTCTGGAATGCCTCAAGGCATCAGGATCTCTGGAATGGGCCCTGCTATTCACTTTAAATAAAGTACTTGTCAGTGTCTCTGATATTTTTGCAGTCCATGTTCTGCATGGTCGACCTCTGGATCTGCTACCACTGTATATGTATAAAACAGCTCTCTGTGGTGCCCTGTCTGATGTCAATCTTGTTACATGGCCAAACCATTTGACTTGTGTCTACCTATAAAGTTCAGCATTGGTTCTGTGCAGACTCTCCTCCTTAAATCATTGTTCGTAAGTCGATCTTTCCTCGTTACATCTAGCATAGTGTGTAAACATTTAATTTCTGTTGTGGCTATTTTTATTATGTCTTCTGAAGACAGTGTCCATCTTTGACATTTGTGGCACAACCTTGGTAAGAATATTGTGTTGAACAGTGTTCTGTTAGTGTTCATAGCTTATATAAACCTGTTAATGAAGTAGTGGATATGATAGCATGATCAGAAATGGGTGAAACTAGTAAGAAGAGAGAGATGCATGTTGCACTGACAAAAAAAAATATGTTGGCAGCTAGAAATAAAATATAGTACTTTAGACAGACCACAAGCGCAGGACAGTTTCTTCTTCTTCATCATGTTCACCGGCTGTAATCTCCGGCAGTAAGTTCTTTTTGTGAGCACATCTGTTTTACAGATCTGGCTTATTTGTATGCAGATTGTTGGTTCCTCACCTCTTAGGCAGAAGCAATTTAACTTTGAAGGAAACATTCCTAATTAGTATACTCTTACTATATGCAAGAGTTCCGGTTCCGGTTTCAAGATGGAGGGATGTTTTCCTTCAAGCTTGTCTCCAGTCCGTTGATCGGTAGCCTAACAAGCCGCCATCGTAAAACATCCACTGTTACAGAAACAGATTTCTAGCTTTAAACGTCATGTCGTTTCGTTCTAATTTGTTGAATGCCACCGATGTTTTTAAAATTGGATATTGGAACGTTAGAACTATGTACCAGACAGGGAAAACAGCACAAGTGTGTAGTGTTATGAATGATTTCAATCTGGATATCCTCGGTGTTAGCGAATGTAGATGGACCAACTCGGGTAAAACGTTCCTTACTAATGAACAAAAACACATAGTTTATTCGGGGAGAACTGATAACCAACATTCAGGCGGTGTCGCGATTATTATGTCACCTAGAACAGAAAGATCACTCGTCAGCTGGGAACCGGTCAATGAAAGAATTATAGCAGCACGCTTCCAATCCAGGTATTTCAAACTATCAGTCATACAATGCTATGCACCTACAAATGATGATACTGACTTCAACAAAGACACCTTCTATAACGTATTAATTGACACCATCAACAAAACACCTAAACACGACATCACTGTTGTGATGGGCGATTTCAACGCCAAGGTTGGAGATGACAACAGCGGTGTTGAAAGATACATGGGAGCGCATGGTATAGGGAGCATGAACCAGAATGGCGAAAGACTACTCGAGTTATGTAAAATTGCTAATCTGTTAATAGCAAATACCACATTCCCACATAAAGATATTCATAAATCCACCTGGATTTCCCCTGACAATCACACTAAAAATCAGATAGACCACTTTTGCATAAATACCAAATTCCGCTCGTCAGTTCGGGATGTCAGAGCATATCGAGGAGCAGACGTTGGCAGCGATCACAACCTCTGCATAGCCAAACTAAAGATGAAGCTCAAGAAACTACATAAAACATTTACAAGCAAGAAAATAGATTCACAGTCTCTGTTGTCAAACCAACATCAAATCACATTTAACTCTGGGATACAAAACAACTACGTACAAACCTTAACTAACAAAAATAATGTTGAATACAGCATAGAACAAAAATGGAGCTTCTTTAGAGACACCTTCAAGGAAGCCGCAGTCAGCACAGTTGGTTACATGCAAAGAAAGAAGAAAAACAATGGCTGAGTGAAAACACTTGGATAAAAATTCAGGAAAGAAAACAGGCCAAATTATCCCTTTTATCTACAAAAGACACATCTGTATATGAAAAAGTCAAACAAAGGTACACCTTGTTAGATAAAGAAGTGAAACATAGTGCACGGAAAGATAAACAAGATTTCATACACAACCTAGCTTGCGATGCTGAAACGGCTGCCAGAACTGGGAACAATAAAGCTGTATTCCACATCATGAAACAGCTGTGCAACCATACACCTACAGCAAACGCACCCATCAAAGACAAACAGGGTAAATTATTATTATCTGAAGAACAACAAAAGCAACGATGGGCAGAACATTTCAGAGAAAATATTAAATAGGCCACAACCCGACACTGTTCCCAATATAGACGAAGAAGAAGCTATGCCCCCTCTAGATGCTACCTGTGAACCATTCACAATGTTAGAACTTAAATCAGCAATAAAAAAACTAAAGAAGAACAAGGCTACTGGCGCAGATGAAATCTCAGCTGAAATGTTAAAGGCAGCAGACGAAAACACCTTACAATATTTGCTACAGCTGTTCAATGATGTTTGGCTAAATGAATCCCCACCGCAACAGTGGAAAGAAGGTGTTATATTCAAACTGCCCAAAAAAGGTGATTTAGCAGACTGCAACAACTGGCGTGGTATCACCCTACTCTCCGTACCAGGAAAACTGTTCTGCAGCATGCTAATGCAGAGACTGAAAAAGCCAATAGATGCAAGACTCCGAGAAGAACAAGCAGGACTCAGACCGAATCGGTCATGCATCGACCATATATTCACACTCAGGACCATCGTAGAAGAGTCAGTAGAGTTTCAATCCCAACTCATCATCAACTTTGTTGATTTTCAGAAGGCTTTTGACAGCATACACCGCCCTACACTCTGGAAGCTACTCACAATCTATGGTTTCCAAGATAAATATGTCAATATTATATAGGCCTTCTACACCGTTTACCGCTGCCTTGTTAGAACGGAATCTGGTAACTCTGATTGGTTCCCAGTAGAAACAGGCGTGAAACAAGGATGTGTCTTGTCACCGATGCTTTTGGGAATAGCACTCGATTGGGTCATGCGCAAATGCACACAGGACACACATCTAGGCATCAAATGGGTCGACAAAGTTCTCGAAGATCTTGACTTTGCTGACGACCTAGCACTCCTGAGCACAACACATCTAGAAGCTCAGGAAAAAATGGACCGCCTCCAGAATATTTCAAGCCAAATCGGCCTTCAGGTCAACGCAGCCAAAACGAAAATCATCGATCTTACCAACGAGTCGAAAGACATCAAACTAAAGGATATTGTTCTTGAAAAAAAATCACCAGCTTCACATACTTAGGGAGCAAGATAACCTCTGCGGGAGATACAACATCAGAAATAACGACTCGAATCGTGTTAGCATCAAGTGCCTTTAACAAACTGTCAAACATTTGGAAGTCAAGATCACTCAGCAACAACACGAAACTTAAGGTCTTCAATTCCTGTGTGATCCCAGTGCTAACTTATGGTTGTGAGAGTTGGAAATCATCAGTATCAATCGATAAGAAACTAGTCGCTTTCGAGAATAGATGCCTCCGAAAGCTATTGAATGTTCACTGGTCGGACTTTAGGTCCAATACATCTATAAGACAGGAAACAAAACAAAAATATGTGTCTGATTTTATTAGAATGCGTCGCTGGAATTACATCGGTCACGTACTCAGAATGGACATACAGAGACTTCCCCACCAAGCCTTCATATGGTCACCAGAGGGTAAAAGAAAACAGGGAAGACCAAAAGAAACTCTCCGTAGAACCATCACAAGGGAGAGCTCAACCATAGGTCTCAGTCGCACTCAAGACCTACATCAAGTGGCAACGAACCGACAGACGTGGAAAGCTATGACCTCTGCCCTATGCGCCATCTTTGGCACAAGAGGAATAACTAACTATATGCATGTTAGGGAGCAGTGGGTCTATTGCTTTTTTCCCCGTCAACAATGAAGCCCCGGTTCCCACAGAGGGTCCGGGAAAATTTAAACAATATGAAAAACCTACAAAGAGAAGTCAAAAGGTAAGTAACAAATGGTTGTTTAAAAAAGAAATTGAGGTTGATAACAACTTGAAAACTGTTTTTTTGACACTTACACTGTTCCTTTATTTTTCAACTTAATTTCCACCAACATTTATGCACTTGTCCCATCGTTTTATCAGTCTTCCAAAACCTGCTGCACAGAACTGCATGCTTTGTTTTCTAAACCACATTTTTACTTCATATTTAACTGCTGCGTCATTTGCAAAATGTCTCCCAACAAGGTGGATTTTCAGTGGACCAAAATTCAAATCGGTCATGAATTATGTTATATGCTGAATTATGTAAGCACCCTATTGCAGCTGCTACAGAGTCAACCATTACATGCCTGTCACCTCTAATCATCTCCTCCACCCTATAGCTGACCCCACGTGGGTTTGAATCCTGAAACTGCTTACCCATATGAGAAACTGGACTAATATCTGAGCTATGCTGATTCTAGACAAAGTCCTTGATAACCACTAAAACAGCACACACACAAAAGTAGGAAAAGGGTAGTTAGATATCAAGGTGAATTTGTTCTGGGTCCACCTAGATTCAGATTATAGTCCAGGTGTATATCTTCCTCTAAAACTTAAAATACATAGACAAAGATTAAGTTGGGGAAAGTCACAGTCTGAAGTTACTAGTTGTGTCATCACAAACGTTACTCTCCTGTCACCTCTAATCATTTCCTCTACCTGCTGCATAGATGGGTCTGTTGCAATATTAACTGGCCGACCAGATCAAACGTCATCAACAATTTTGGAGTGTCCTTGAAAAAACTTGTTTACCTAGCTATGTACCGCTTTACCGGAAAAACATTTCCTTTGCAGATAGCCCCCCCCCCCCCCCTTTCCTCTAAAATGCATAAAAGCATGTTGTTCTTTAAGGGTACATTTCGTTAGTCGATTTTTTTGGGTTTTGGGAATGCGCATGCAAAACCTAGCGCCACCAAATGAACGAAGACATAGTTCGACATTGCTGTCACCTAATGACACCTTTAGAAACCACCAACTACATTTTGCTGCCACCCCATAACCATTTGTGACTTACTTATTGACCTCTTCTCGTACTTTTAAAAGTATGGTTACTTCATATGTGCTTATGATATACATACTGCTCAATGGTGTTATGGACTACAATATTTTATATCTAAGAGCGTAATAAAGGTGCTTTTTTCAGCAACAAAAATAAAAAGCAAACTATTGCTGCTGTCTTTTTGGAAGATTTTACTAAGGGTTGAGAAGCAAATCATACTTAAATTGGCAGATAAAATGCAGTGAGCAGGCCAGGTTGCTAATATAATAATGATCCCTTGTTACCATACCATGTATAAGGACCCATACTGCTAGGAAACTCATCCATCTGCCAGCAAAACTAACACAATGAGAACAAGAAAACATAACACAACTTAAATATGTTTACCATAGGTGACATCAAAATTATGTTAGAGTGATCGTAATAGTCACCACAACAATTACATGAAACAGCAAATACAATTGCAAAAAGTAAAATCAAACTGCACATCTGTAACTGAAATGTATTTCTATGAAATGAAAGATCATTTAATATAGTTGTCAGTAGAAAAAGCATTTCTGTTTTACCACATGTGTGCTTTATGTATATGAGCCAGGACAAACATTAGACAATTAAAAGCTAACATATTAAATTTATTCTTTAAATGCTTTGCCAACAGGTATGGGCAAACATGCTGTTGAAATAACCTTGTCTTCTATTTTCTATTAGGTTCTATTAACATGCTGATGCCATATTGCATCATATGTCTGACCAACTATTATGTCAGTTTTCAGGTAACTATATCATGTTTGTTGTAGCCAATGCTAATGTAACTAGTTTTTAAAAATCTGTATGTTAATTATACTAGGGTAACCTAAAATAGACTCTACTGCTTTCGACAAGATTCAAATAAAACCACTCAAAAACTGCACAGCAAATCAAGACTGTTTCTGTGCTAAACTATTTCTGTTATTTTACTAGTTAATAAAAACTTGGATTGAAATGTTTGCTTGTTGTCTGTGTTTCTTTTATATCTTAAAACTTTATGGTTGCTTTTTTGTGTTCAGGTGTTGTTGGTAGAGTTGGTGAGTCATTAGTTGCAGTTCCAATTTGCCAGTGAAAGGGTGACCCCATAACTGATCTTTTTCTGCGTCAGCAGAAACTAAACAAAATACCTATCATTGTTGTAAGTGATCAGCAATCCTGGCAAAGTCAACAGCATGCACATGCATTAAATACATAAGACAGTCACCAGAGTTACCAAAAACTACAATCGACCACTAGAATTTCAGTTCATCATGAAGCAGCAGTCACAACAAAGAAGCATTACAACATTCAGATGAAAATTCAAAAGTGCGACACACATTATTTTAACCATGGCACTGCCTTATAACCTGTCTGTACTGTTGTTTAGGATGTCAGAAGTGTTAGGCATGTCACGTCATCGTGCAAATGAACACAGTAATGTTATAATGATTGTTTCAAGATGGTCACCCCACTTTTGACATACACAAAAGAGGAGCAGCATTCTGTCATTAATTTTGTTTTAAAATCAGTAAAGGGATGAACCCCCAAAAATTCATTGGCAAATGAAACTACCGTACGGTGATGCATACCCGTGAGCCAGCAAGTGTATGGGTGGAGTAGCAAGTTTCAAAATCGCACGACAGACTGTTCACAACCAGGTCATGCATACCAATTGGTAATCCCACAGTCGACTGCAGCCATTAATGAAATTTTCTATGGTTATTGTACTTTCTATCAAACTTTTAGATTCAATTTAAAGCTCCCTTTTGTCACAAACTGGCAAGACAAAAGCACATTTTGTAAGAAATATGATACTCTAAATTATATAGTGTTTTTAATTCTAATGTTATTTCAGTTTTAACATTTGCCAGTGAAAGTTAGAGAACCATTAAAGACATGGAATGAAAGTTAAATGCATTCAAAAACTGATGAGCAATAAATGGGATGAATTCAAGTTTAGTAAAGAAAAAAAAAAGATATGTTTGGACAACCACTAGTATTAACATTTTTTAAGACAAAGAGGATGGTACTATATTGAATGCATCATTAGTGGAAGCGAGGAGAGAATCACCAAAAAGACACTGAAATGGGAAACAAATGGATTGAGATAAACAGGACACCTGAGAGAAATGAATGAGAGAGGCCAAGAGACATCCATGATGTCAAAAGAATTGCCTGGTAGAAAACAAAATGAAGAAATAGTCTGAAGGCCCTATGATACATATAGTGGCATAATAGGAGGATAATGATAGTTTTCCCTTTGTATCTGTTCATCTATATCTTCATATTCCTTAATTTATCAACTTACCATCTCATTTCTCTCAATAACCAGCAAAGGAGTAAGTAACTTCTCTATGTGATTCATCAAATAGGGTAGCTGTTCCTTATCATAACCAGATGTTACATTTCCATCAACATTACTTTCAGACTTGAAGATTCTCTTCTGAATTACAGGATTGTTGTAAAAGAGCAAAATCTGCATGAATCTGTACATCTGGAAACAATACACCAGAAACTGTTTCACAATCACAACCAAACCAAATACCTAATAAATAGTACAAGTGAAAACAATTCACCCATTATCCCCAAGAATAACAAGATCCCTTAGTTTAAAACACAGAGAAAAAATTTCTTCTTCTTTTGTTCGCTCACAATACGTTTGTTGATTATCTATATCTGCATCTGCAATGTCGACTCTAGTTTAAACTTCACTGTCTTTCTGCAATTCACTCATCAACCAGTAAAATATGATTACATAAAGCTACTGAACTTTTGTTTGGTTTCATCAAAGAATATAGAAAACTCATCATGACTGTTAAAACTATCATTGATATGATAGTTCTTTTAGCTTGTCCTCATCTGTCTCTGACAATAAATCACTATCTTTATACACTGCCCCAGTTCCATCTGTGGCATCTGAAATGCCACACTTCTTGAATGACTTGTACAATGATCTAAATCTTCACATTGTCCTAGGATCTTTTCACCCAGGTACAATCTTCTATAGTTGTTTCATCACACTACCTGATGGTGTCAAAATTTCCCAAAAGACTTCTTCCATTGGTTCCATTTGTATCTCATGGCAACTTTAAAGGGTTTGTTAATGCTGACATCAACTGGTTGAAGTCAAGCCCCCAGGTATGATGGCATGTTTTGTTTTATTCTCTGTAGCAATCCTTTTTGGTTGGGGTGTGATTTCAGTTAAGTGTGCCCTGATCTGATCAAGCACCAGTAGCGCAGGTTTGCACAAGAGTCCACCTTGCCTTGTGCTCCGAACTTTCTCAGAGGAGATCTTCAAGAACAATTACTCCTCAAGAAATGCCTTATTCTGGTATTGTTTTGAAAATCAGCACAGGAGTAAGCTTAGTTCTGTCAGTGCAAAAAAACAGCTACATCAACTAATAGCTCTTTTCATGCACACTTATCTACAGTTACAGTCTTCACCAGAGTGTTATCAACAGTTCTGTTACTTCTTACATCAGACTGAAGGGGGAACTTGTCCATTTTTGCAGCCTGTCCCAACCCAAGCTGATGTGTCTTCTGACACTGAATGACAAAACAATGAAATTCAAAGACCTTCTGCTTAAAGCCTACAGGCATCTTTTGGGCAGGTCTAGTGCATGTTGAATGTTGAATTAAGAATCAACATCACAGCACTCGGGACACTCCCATAAGTGCTCCATCCCCATCTTCAGCAGCAAGCGAAGAGTTCCAATTCCAATGGCACCAGTAGCCATCTGATTGTATATCAATCTCATCTTTCCCCTGAGTGTTGAACGTCGACCACATCCCCTGGTTACTCCTGGCAGCGCCATTCTTTTTAGACCGTAATGATCTATCTGCACATCTGCACTGTTCACTCGTTCCCAAAGGGCCCTCACAATATCTAGCTTGTCATACATCAATTCACCATCAAGTGGTGAGAACCGGTCAGTCTATCTGTCTGCTCATTTCCCAACACCGGTAGGAAAAAATATCCAAAGGATGCTAACTCCTGTCTTCACTGTTCTCAACATGCTCAGTGAGTCCGTTACCCTTATGGCTTGTGTTTACAGCTGATTCTCAAGCCAGCGGAAGGCAGCAGGGACTGCCTTCACCTCCATTCTCAAACTAGACGTTAGATATCATATGCAAGGCTTTTCTACACTAAGCGACGTCCATTCCACTTTGCTATGAACCCCCATGCACTTCGTCTGCCCCTCAACACAGAGCCATCTGTATAGATAATCACCTGGGTGGGAATTGTCATGAATCATTTGTTGAACTTCTGATTCTTCAGCACCAGCTGGCTAGTCCCTGCACTCACAACCTAAAGTGACTACAACCCTACACAAGTCCAAAACTTAGTTGGACACATTGACCCACTTTTCTCATCGCTCAAATTTATCAGCATGCACACATGTCCAATTGTGTCTTCAGCTTGCGCCATCCCAGACCTTCCTCTTTTCAGTTTGTGACCCTTAGCTCTACCCAAGGCTTCATGTTTCTTGTCTGCAGCTACTCTGAGATATGACTGTGAGCCTATCTGCAATAGTAGGCAGTGCAAGTATATATTGCATACAAGAGAAGTGGAGATGGCAGAGAATGTGAAAAAAGATAAGGTAAAGGTTTTCAAGCGCTGTGCTTCAGAGGCCAAAAGAGCAAAGTGGGAAACTTTTGTGAATGATATGGGAAGCGATAAAACATTGGGGAAATTCTGGAAACTGCAAAGGCAGATGCAAAGAAAAGATCGCACTATGACAGTCGGAAAAATTTGTAGAGATGATGGTGTGCGTATGACAACAGACAAGGAGAAAGGGGAGGATTTTCTCCATAGGCTTATAGCTCAGACAGATCATAATGATGTTGGCATTATGATCAACAGTTAGAAAGAAGTTAGCTTGCACCTTGAAGAATATGCATTATGAAGACATGATAAAAGTGGAAGATATCAAACAAATTTTGAAAAAAGCAAAAGACACTGCACCAGGGCCTGATGGAGCCAGGTATGGTTACATGAAGGCTTTGAACAATGTAGACCTGGCAGAGATGGCCGACTGTTTTAACCAGAGCATTAAGACAGCATCAGTATCGCAGGACTGAGTGCACAGCTATCTAATCCCACCACCAAAACCTTTTAAAGATCATTTTAAGCTTAGTGGCTTTAGAATCATCACCTTACAAAACACATTTGGGAAGGTTTAGAGAAGATAGTTGCTGTAAAGTTACAAGAATTTTTGGAAAGGGGGAAGCTTCTCCTAAGAGGTCTGGGAAGTTACAGGCCAGGAAAGGACACTTGGGCAAATGCAGCTACTTTTGCTTTTGACGTCCATGAAGGGTTCCAGAACAGACAGGGAACTATGGTGGTAGGACTAGATCTCGAAGATGCTTATAACAGAGTGAGATACGACATCTTAATGACTGCACTGAAGGAGAAGGAGGTCAGTCCATGGCTGGTGAATTGGGTTGCAGCTGTCCTGTATTCAAGTCACGTTGCTCTCCAACTGGGCTCATGGACCTCTAAACCATGCAGTTTGGCCCCAGGACTGCCACAGGGATCCGCCATCTTGCCTGTGCTCTTTAACGTGTGTACGAGCAAGATTGCAAGCCTAGAAGCACCAGGAGTTGGAAGGATACTGACTTTTGCGGATAATATACTTGCATATAGGCAGGGGGAAGAGAAGGAACAAACAGCCCGGGAGCTACAAGCGACAGTAGACAAAGTGACTGAGTGGTGTACAGCAATGACAGCTGTCGTCCACCTGGAAAAAGTGTCTGTTTTGTGGTGCTCTCTGGAAAACAGAACCGTTAAAGCTAATGTTCCAAGTCTCACGATAGATTGTAGAAACGTCAATAGAGAGAGCAAACTGAAGTATCTGGGAATTACATTTAACAGGAGCCTGTCCTTAAAGGACCATGAGGAGAGTGTTGTGACGAGATGCCAAAAAGGACTTAGTGCACTTAAGGCTATGGCTGCAATTGACATAGAGCTGAGAATGCTTTTCACACTATATCAGCATTTGATCCTGTCAGTGGTTGATTATGGATTGCTTACCGTCTCAAGGAGTCTTATGGACAAACTAGAGCACATACAGAACGCGGCTATGTGGGTCATTCAAGATTGCACCAGAGACACCCCAGTGGTGTGTATGCGATACATCCTTGGTTTGCCGACGGTTGCAGGTAGGCACAAGGTGCTGCAGGCGAAGTTATATCTCAGGGTAGCTGCAGACACAGACCATCCTTTGCATGAAGCTCTGGGTGCAGTTAAGGGTCAGCAGCTGATAAGAGGGAGGTCATGGATGGCTCAGACAGAAGACGCAATCAGACAGGTTTGCATCCTTGAGAACATTAGGCGAAGAGAGGAGTGGGTCAAAGTGCCACCTGAACAGTCAGACTCGAGCAGAGTCCTATTCACGTTGAGCCGGGAATGCAGAGGCCAGCAGGTGCCACGGAGGTGGAAATTCAGAAATTAATTCAAGATAATGCTTGCTCAGAGGATTTGATCATTTACACAGACGGTTCAGTGTCAAGAGGCAAAAAGAAGTGCTTGGGGCTTCTTAGCAAAAGTTAATGGTCGACGTTTGGTGCAGGAGAGCCTAGCATATGATACCACAACATCCAGCTTAAGAATGGAGGTGGAGGGGTCACTGCAGCTTTCCTCTGGCTAGAGAACACGACACACACATTGTGATTGTAACTGATTCAGAAAGCATGCTGAGGAAGATCAGAACAGGTATGCTTCATGCAGAGTGGCATGCTTCACTGCGGAGGACATGTGTGAGGAGTATTGTCTAGATTTTTTAACCGTGCACACGGGTGTGTTGGGAAACAAACAGGCAGACAGACTGGCTGGCTCTGCACAACTTGGTGGAATACTGATACATGATAGGGCAGACATGGTTAGTGCCTTGTGGGAGAGCGTGTACAGTTTGGAGGAGCAGATGGATCACCATAGTCTGGTGAGATTGATGCAGGCGGGAGTGACAAGAGGTTCTGGCAGATGCTCGAGGCTCAAAGGAAAGGCAAGACGGATGTTTAATCAGAATGCTACTGGCACCATTAGTATCAGAACTCTTCGCTGGCTGCTGAAGATGGGGACGCAGCACTTATGGTAATGCCCCAAGTGCTGTGATGTCGGTTCTTGAATCAAATCAAATCATATCAAATCGCATACATACTACCGTGGTGCCTCTTGTACATCCCAGAATTACCTGTATGGCTTCATTTTGTGTGTTTTCAAGTTTCATCAGCTGACTCTCTGATATGGTAAGCATGCCAAGTCCATAATCTATCACCAACGGGATCATATGCTGGAACATTGTGAACAGCATTCTTTGTGCCATGTCCATTGCTTGATAGCAATGAGTCCTTTTTGGCATTTCACCACAACTGCTTCCACATGTTCCCTATAAGACAGGCTTCTAACGAAAGTCATACCCAAGTACCTCAGTCTGCTTTCTCTTTTGATGTGTTGTTAACTGATTAATTATTAATCTGGTGTATGTACACATGTTTAGTCCATTTTGTTTCATGAACCTGAAGCACTAATTGTGCCCTCCTTTGAAACTAGTAACTTCTTTTTTCACTAGAAAGACTTGCCTTTCGCTGAACCATCTTAAGTGGACACAGGAATTCCAACTGCTCTTTGCTCTTCAGTCGATATCTTCAGTTCCCTCTCCAAAGCAGGCCATTTTACTGACTTGCCTTTCACAATCTCCTTCTGTGGCATCTTCAATAGAGTTTCTTCTTTACATAGCCATCAATTGTTTTCTTAGTTGGAGGAGCCCAAATTTACATTCAGCAGCACAATTTCCATTCATTTTTGTAAACTGGATTACTTTTACCTTGAACTAAGTGCTGTAGGAATATCTTTTCTGAGATTTTTATGGGCATAATGCACTCAGTGTAGCAAATGCAAAAAAATTAGCACTAAAGCAAGTGAAATGAAAAAAAAAAACTATTTCGGGGGGGGGGGGGGGGGGGGGGGGGAATGTTAATTTTATAATTTATTTTCATTTTATGTTGCCCCTGTTCTAACAAATCATTTAGTAAAAATCTACTACCATTGTATAAGATGAACACTATTTTTAGACAGTATATTTTGGAAATATAAGTTAGGTGTATAATATGTTGCACACCAACACAAGCAGTTACTGGCTGCTGTGTGGTTTTCTAGACAGAGGTCAATTACAGAAAAGTCTGACTGGATGTGGATTAGGGCCCACTACAGTTTAAAAGGCTGGTTGGTAAATAAGTGGGTGACATTACAGTTATCTGGTAAAGGAAAGTGAAGGGATAAAAATTCATGTATTTTATTATGAAACTGTTGTGTTCTTCTTCCACCCTCTAAATGAGAAGCTAAACAAAACAACAACCAAAAAAACGTTTAAAAAAAATATATAAAAAAAAAAAAAAGCAAATTAAGTTGTGAGTTTATTATTCAACTGTTTTATACTGAATGTTATTAAACATAAAGCTTTTAAGTGCAGCTGTAAATGTATTTCAATTTTATTTACAAAATAAACCCAAACTTTCATTTTTGCCATCACCTCAGATGCCTAGATGCTGCACTGACAGTATTTTAGGAAAGTAAGTTAGCTATAAGAGATATCTGATTAAAAAAGAATGTAATTAAAAGTAGTAATTAAAGGACATTGTCCACGCCTACTGAAGATAAGAATGTAGTGTGAAATATTTTGAATAAAATTTATACTGAACTGAGTTCATTATTATTCTGAAGATCCCTATATATTGACAGACAAAATGATAAATGGCTCAGTAACAGAGCTTCACATTTCACCTTGTCTACAAGGCTTGCGTAGGAATATTAAATTAGCTGCACATCACAAACCAATTTCAGCATTTATTTATTGTTTATTTTTTGGGTAGACAATTTTACTCTGAGTATTTTACCAATGCTTTTTGAATGGTACAACATTCATTTAGCTGTAAAAATAAATATAAAACTGACTGCTACTGACTTCACACCCCAGTATGTTAGGATTGCTGAAGTGCCTTCATAACCCCTAAGCCACTTAGACGATTTAAGAATACCAGGTCAAGTCAAAGTTAGAGATCCCATTTCCAGATCATAAGACGCTGGGAATATAGCCAGGGCCTATATTTTTGCTGAACCTAGTGAATAATAGGGTCAGTATCACAGTGGCCGATTTTTAGAAAAGAGACCTGTTAAAAGAACTGCTGAAGGGATTTAAACTTAGGATCAGTGGGCCATAAGGCAAGTGTATCACCCACTGTTACCATGGTAGACTCCTCTATAAGAATATAGTACAGTAAGAACAATTTTCCATGTGTGGGGGTGAATCAAGTTTATGGTGAAAGTCCAAGTTCTACATATAAACTAATACTCAAGGGAGAATTTTCCCCATGTAGATTCCGGAGCCACGTTTTGGGGGAAGGGGGGGAGGGGAAAGAATAGACCTACTGCTCCCCTAACAAGCTTGTTGTAAAAGTCGACAAATTAGGGGTGTTTCTTTTGAAGTCGGAGTGAATTTTCCTTACAGGTGAAGAACCAACAGTCTGCTTATAAATAAGCCAGATCTGGACAACCAATGTGCACTTTAAACTCAAGTTCTGGAAAAAGATTAAGTCCAGAAGTGGGTAAACAACTAAAACTTTCTGCCAAAGTTTACAGCCAATAAATGCAAAGAAGAAGAAGCAGACCTGGCAAAATGGTCAGTATCTTACTGGCCACCATTACCCCCCAGAATATTTTCTGATATTAATTTTTAGGTTGAATGCCAAAGTCATTTTTAAAAGTCTGCCTTGCTAGAGCAGGCCGATGACCAGCAGACAGGCCTGCTAGCCACTGCGTCACCATCACTCCCACACATGGATATAGCTAACATTATAAAAAAACTCACATCTTCTGTGGAGTTCCATTCTAAATATGCTCTGATGATTTCAAGGGACTGATTGTAAATTTCCTGCAGATCTTGATGTTTGGCATTTTCTGTTTGAACAGAACATGGATAATGAAACTTTACCTATCACAGTTTTATTTTGTTTCCATTACATATAATGTAAAACATCTCTTTTCTATTCCTTAGGTATCTTCTTCAGCATTTGCCATTAAAAGGAAAGCTGGCACACTGTGCTGCAGTTGACAGCTAGGCTGCAATATCTGTGTCTTTCAGTCCAATATATACAAGTTTTCTAATTAGTCCCCCTCTTACAACATGCTTCTTGTTTGGCAGTGGGTGTATTCTTTTTTCCTTACCCAAAATGAAGACCTGGAACTCACATAGAGAATACTGAGTATATGGTGCTAGACTCATGTTTTTATAGAACATTTGGCATTCAATGGATGACAACTCAGTATCAAGTTGGTCATCTTTAAATTCCATGACAGTTTAAAAAAAAATCTGCTTTACTTGGAAATCATAAACATGGCAACTAAGACGGAAGTCAGGTATGCTAGCACACATACTTCATGTCAATATTTCTCATAGAAAGTACGGTTCCTGAAAGAAAAGCAGGAAGATCAATGGTAGACACAGGACCTCCAAGATCACAGTGAGCATGAAAACCTATAAGGTAAGTGAAATGAAAGGAGACAAAGAATCTTGTCAGTGGGCTACCATGAGAGTAACATTCTGCAAAGGATTTGCTTAACTAAGGTGACGATGTCATCCAATTCATATATATATATATATATATATATATATATATATATATATATATATATATACAAAATTATCAATATCCTGTTGTGCCATTTATACATCAATCAGGGACTGCATTCGATTTCTCCATTATCTTCATCCTGTGCAATCCTTTTAGTACCACCTGTTGAATCCAGTAAGGAAGCTCTTGTCAACGCTCATTGCAAATTTTCCTGGATGTCCTCGCTGCCTCAATGACAGGCCAGAATATATCAGTTTCTGAAACATAATACTGTTTTTGAGCATTTTTGAGCAAAGTCTTTATTTTCAACATTCAGAACTTGTAGAGTGTCAGTATTTTCTTTTTCTTGACTCACAGCATTGTTTCAGTTTGTCTGAAGTTCAACAGACTCAAATTTTGTTTGTTAATGACAAATGCATAGGACTGTATACTTTTCAAGCATAGATTAAATAGCTTTAAGAGCCTGTGGCACAATAGTCAGCCAACAAATTAAAGTTACAATTTTGAGAACAAATTTTGAGAACACACACATTTCCTGTTGCAACATATAGAAGTGAACTATGAACCAGACTCAAATCAGTGAAGATAAAAACTGAGGCCCTGGATACAAATAAGCTGGATACAGGACATTAAAGAATCTTTAGGCATGAAAATAGATAAAGTACAGAAACTAGTAAAGAACTGAGCATGTTCTCTACAGACTGTGATGGCAGCAAAATGTGAAGGACCTGTACATAAAACTCCATCTGTGATTCAACAGTTCAGGCTTTCTCATATTCTACACCTTGGCATGGTGAGGTGAGATGGCCAGGTCTTTTTATTTTTAAATAGTTGCCATGTTCATGAGGCTAGGTCAGTCCTAGAGCTGTACTTGGAACACAAATCCAGAACCAGAATGAAAAATGTACCAGTCTTGGCAGGTGAGCACACTAGGTATTTTGTCCTCGCAGGACTCTTAAAAGCTAACCATACCATTAATAAAAATACTGAAGATTCTTGTTTTTGAAGCAACAAATGTATTCATCAGATTTCAAAAGATGTAGTTTCTAGATTAATTAAAACAAATGAAATGTCCTCGTTTTCATATTTCAGTTAAAATTTCATATTTAAAGAAGCATGCTAACACATAAATTACAACAGGCTAGTTTGTGATATATATACTAACAAAACCAATTCACATGTTAGTGAACTCAAATTCTGGAAGAAAAAATATCTCAATATATCAAGAACATCTGTAGCACAGAACACAGATACATGAGTTAACAACAAGGTATGAAAGATGTAAGTGTTGTAACAGGATAATGTTTGACTTACTCAGCCCAAAGGTCAGGAAAATGGTGAGGCACCGTAACAAGAGAGTCAAACTGATGGATTGTGACAAGAATTTCTTCTTCGGTTCATCAATTTTTTTACTCATATAATCAAAGAGCAGTTTTAACTGCTTGACATTCCGAGACTTGAAAATCTGGAAATATGGAATGTTAACACCATTGATTAACATATTTTGTATTGGTTATTACTATGAAACCAAGATATAATATAAGTTAACATGTACTGTATTAGATGTTACGGTGTAGCCTAGATATACTGTAGATAACACATTTTGCATCAGGTCTTGCTGTGTAGCCTAGATATTTGAAAAAAAAGTTCTTGTGTGGCAAACTGGAATATAAGCTTTTCTGAAAACTACCATTTATTTAGTTTTGCTGGTTTAATAATATATTCCCTATTTTTCACTTGCTTCCCCCACTTATTTTACAAAAATTCCACTGGCACAAGAATGAAGCAAGTTATGGAACAATCAATCAATCAGCAGTGAAGTTGGAACCTTGACTAACAGTTAAACTTTTGTTTAAAAGTTTTGAAGACTACTGTCAGACTGCTATCAAAATTGTCACCAACATTTAATAGAGCATTAAATTTGTGTCTTTACCTTTTATTCCCTCAAGATTTTTAATTTTTATGAGGATTGCTTCACTGTAAATGTAGGAGAGATCAGGTGATAGAGCACAATCTTGTCTAACCACTCTTTTAACTGCTATGAATTCTATTTCAATCTCAGTGGCAGATTATCTTCTCCCAATAATGTCCTTATAGTGAGATTTTCTTATTCATACTGAGTCTAGACATAATACAAATCAGGTAATATATTCAGTACATAAAGTATTCAAAAGCTGATGATATGTTTACTTCTGGTGCTGGAGTCAATGTTTTACACACAGGTGTCAAAATTAAAGGATGCTTTCCCGGCCTTGAGGTTTGTTAGGTATATCATGCTTAGCTAATCTTTTTTTCTGATTAAACAGATCAATTAACTCTGGATGTGTGGTGAAAATCACACCAGCCCCTGTTACTTTACATAAGTTTTCCTGCTATATATTATAGGCTAGAAGTATAGGTTAATCTTTTAAAATTATGTTTACCTGAAATGGAATCTGATTTTGTGACCACCAGATCAGCAGTACAGCATCATAAATAACTAACACTATACATACATATGTGTGTCTATATATATATATATCAACATAATCATTCATCATCCTTCATGTGTGGTTAGACGTAACAAAGTGGTTGCATTCGATTCCTCCACTGCACTCGATTGCTTACACTCTCTTGATTTCTAACATGGAGTTAGTTCAGCGTTTTTAGCTTCTAGTAATAATGTTCTTCTTAATTTTTCCCTTTGTCGTTCTCTTTTTCTCAGACCGTTTATTTTCCACTTTAGTGCTTAGTTTTTTAATTCTTTGTTTATTTCTCCTCAGAGTGTGGTCAATATGTCTCCACTTACTTTGTCTTACTGCAGTCGATACAAGTATTTGTACAGACATTGCTTTGATCTCCACACTCTTTTAACATTCATCCCATTATATGTTCATGAATTGTCTCAGACATTGATTTTCAAAAATTTTTAACTTTCATTCAAAATCCTGTCATTATATATATATGATTTGATTTGATTCAAGAAATGACATCACAGCACCTATGGCATTCCCATAAGTGCCCCATTCCCATCTTCAGCAGCCAACGCAAAGTTCCAATAACAATGGTCCCACTAACAGTCTGATTATATGTACGTCTAGCCTGTGGGTGGGTGGGTGTGTGTGTGTGTGTGTGCATGTGTGCGTGTGGGGGGGGGGGGGGGGGAAGGTGAGGAGGTGGGGGTATGGTTAAGAACGAACAATTTGATAAAAATTATTTGCCCGGAAAAGTAGCTCCTCTGTAGGACTTCTAGAAATGATGTTCAAGAGTTAAAATATGCTAAATGGTTACTTAGTACTTAATGGTAAATATTTCAGACTACCTGTTTCATAGTTTCCATAATAACACAGGTTTGTATGACTAAATTTTCCTGGCACAGCTGAGCTCCTAGATCTGCTTTGTCTGGCTTCATGAACTCAGAGATGGTTCTCTTCATCTGAGAACATGGTTTATTGCTGGCATCTTCTATAAAGGCTTGAAGTTCATTAGCAGCTTTCCCAAATTTTGTGTTTCTGGCTCTGAAAAGAAATATTTTCCTATACTTTTTTAAAAACTAATATTTAGTCAGTTACAGAGACCTCCCCTCTCCCCCTTTATTTTTCTTAACTCCATAACCATTATTGTCCATTTTAAATTCTAAAAAAAAAAAAACGCAAAAATGCAGCTCATTTTTTTTTTAACATCCTCTTCTAGTGTAAGTCAGGTCACGCTATTTTTCTGATGTGATGTTCACTATATTATCCACCCAATGCAAAGTAGTAAATAGAATATTGGTCTAAGACCACATTTACTAGGTATTACTGACATGAAACATGTTATTCTGATTGTTACTATTGCTTTCTAACAGCTTTTATGTCAAATTTTTTTCTAAACTGATGTATTTAGTAACTTTATTATTAAGCAATCAAGATCTGAGTGCACACTTCCCTTCAGGACTTAAGAAAAAAACAGTATTATTGTAAAATAAAAAATCTAGAAGTTGGTAAAAGTCTAGTGTGCTCATGTCTTCCCAGATCCCAAACGAAAAGCAAAGAATAGTAAATTCAATAATCTATCATGCATGTTGTAAGAGGAAACTATGAGAGGCTGGCATGAGACTAGTTACACCATACCAGCTGTAAAATCTAATCAATCATAAAGTGTACAATAAAGAAGAAGAAGAAGAAGAAGGACAAAAAGGAGAAGAAGGAGGAGAAGAAGAAGGAGAAGAAGAAGAAGAAGAAGAAGAAGAAGAAGAAGAAGAAGAAGAAGAAGAAGAAGAAGAAGAAGAAGAAGAAGAAGAAGAAGGAATGAGGAAGGAGGAGGAGGAAGAAGAAAAAGAAGAAAAGAAGAAAAAGAAGAAGGAGGAGGGGGAAGAAGAAAAGGAAGAAGAAGAAGAAGAAGTTGAAGAAGAAGAAGAAGAAGAAAAGGAATAAGAAGAAGAAGAAGAAGAAGAAGAAGAAGAAGAAGAAGAAGAAGAAGAAGAAGAAGAAGAAGAAGAAGAAGAAGAAGAAGAAGAAGAAGAAGAAGAAGAAGAACGACAACAACAACAACAACAACAACAACAACAACAAGGATGACTGCATATAAATCTGTTGAAAATATATGTTCATATCATTTTTTAAATAAAATATTATAAATGGTGTTAACTCTTTGAGTCTTAAGGAACGCGGCACTCTCTAACTGGTTACAACCCAGCAGCCAATTCAGTGCGTGACAAGTGAAGGTTTTTAATTTACCATTGACCAGTAATGAAACGTGGACCAGTAAATTTTAAATTCCTTTCCAGTTCTGTATGTTTGATTTAAAAAATGCTGACCATTAGACTCATTTGTTAATGTGGTTAAAAGCATAAATATAGTATATCGTTGGGGTTTACCGAGTTACAAAAAATTTGTTTGAAAACAATATGACCGCCGAGCCAACATGCGTGCCAACATAATTTACAGCTTTAGTAGCCTCAAATTTAAATAAAGCATGTGATTATTAGATTCATCCAAAGTTAGATAGATAATGCTGCAAAGTAGACTTGTTTCAGTCATTTACAGAGTCAAACTATGATGAGGGATAGCTCTAATATGAGCCTCTCATGAAGGGTACAACAATACCAAAGCCTGCAGGCACAGATAAATAAATATTAGTGAAAAGGTTATTTTCTTCAGTGTCAGTTCCAGTGCCAATCCCCTTTATTATTTAGGAACATAGCTACAATACTACAGACAAAGTGAGTGTTACATAAACTTTGTTTCATGTAAGGATACTAACTGTTTTGGGAAGCAGTTCTCTTTACCAAAAAATGGTGCTCTGTTATGATGCTTTAAAAGATTCTCTGGAACAAGATCTAATGTATAGAGTTTATACTTTACTTATATACATTACTAACTGGTTCAAGTTAATTTGTGATTCATTTTTGAAATATTTTAACGAGTTGTCCTTCAGCACCACCTTGAGCACCATGGTGGTAAGTGGAAAAGTTATTTTTTTATTTTACTAATATCTGTAAAAATACTTTCTGTTTAAGTACTACTATTTAACTACTAACACAATTATTTGTTGTAGTATCATTTTATTATTATTCCCCAACAACCCCTGGTCACTTTGATGTAGAATATGTGTATGTTGCACAGCAGCTGAATTCGTATGGTATGTTTCAATGTGTTACACTTGTGAAATAAAAAAATTGCACCCCTTAGGCCTCTGATGCTAAACCTCCTGGGACTCAAAGAGTTAAAAGACTTGAAATAAAGTGTGAAGAAGATGTTTTTACTGATTTATGACTCTTTTTTTTTTTAATAACACAGAAACCATTTGTTTGACAGAAGCGACCTTATTCAGAAATAAGTTTTTTTTAAAAACTAGTATAAACTATAACTGACTAGAGAAATCTTACATTATTGTGCTGAGGTGGATATCACATTGCTTCATCTCATTTGGATTTCTGCAGGTGACAATCATATCACTCAAAACCATGACATACAAAACACACAGTCTTTGTGTGATAACAGGAGCATCTTTTTTTTCACCCAAGGCATCTGACAGTTCTGACTCCAAGGACAGTTTTCCAAACAATAAGGTTTCTATGAATCCCTGTCAATAAAAAGCATCATCAATACTTAACAATGTACATATACAAATATTACCCACAACAACAAAATGTTGGTTAAAATAACTGAGTCATCATTACAACAGTTACAACTGTCTCTAAATAACTAGACTCACCAAAACAGTATATAGAAGGGTAGAGAAATGCTGTTTGAAGTCCAGTTTCATCAACAGTAGAGTAACATAGCATGCGAAGAATACTTTCCACATCTTAAAAAAATTAGCAAGGGGAGGTAAGCCTAATATATTAGCTAAGATGATACGCCCCCCCCCCCCCAAAAAAAAAAAATCATGGTGAGAAAAGGCATGCATTGTGAGTGGAACATGGATGCAAATGCAGCTAAGAGAAGCCAAACAGTAAGGAAAGAGAAACTACTTTCTCCTAGCCAAGCTGAAAGTACCATAACGAGCAAATAAACCAAAAGGCCTCTGTGTGCATAACTTGATTATTTTCTGAAGGAATAGCGGTTATCTGCTGGGCACATAAAATGGCAAATTTCTAGGATAATGACTAGCAGTACTGAATAACTGTTTAAAATTTAGTATACATGAATGTAAAGAAGATAAACATGTCGATAGTCTTGATAAAGGGGAATGCATTCTGCTGACCAACGCTTCCTGTTTTGGTTTGTTCAGGGTGAAGATTATACTACTCCTTGCTCTATTTATCCTAACTGTCCATTTCATTTCCCATTTTGTGTGATGTCCTGGTGGTGTACAACTACCTACCTTTTGCTCATTTCATAATTTTAAAATATTATGTAAAAAAAAAAAAAAAAGGTAAAGTCGGGAGATGTGAACAAGTGTCGGTTATAAACCGTAAGTGCTCTGCCACCAGTATGGACAGCTGATAATAATCGTCCGCCTGTGTCGCCGTTCACACGTAACTCTAGCTACAGCGACGTTCCTCCGTTTACCCCAGAGTGTCAACTCTGGTACCCATTTACTAGAGGCTAGGTGAACCCCGGGAGCCACTCAATCTGCTCAATCGTGGGGGTAAAATTATAATTACAGATTTCAAATTTTTTATTAGGTATGTATTAGGGCTGTACAGAATATTCGCTTCATATTCGCTTCTGGGCCGAATAGTGGACCTATTGACTATTCGGTATTCGGTCGAATAGTTGCGGTCGGGCCGAATACAAATAGTAGTTACCTTACATCAGCTTCTACATACATGACCTTAATGCTGACGACATGGAACGATTGGTTTTGTTGAAAGCTAATGTAGCTTTCCTGCATTAACTAAGCTGTCAGTGACAATTTCCAAGTTTAGTTGCTTGTTATAATACTTAGGATTCTTTCATTCCTAGTTATTAGTTACCACAGACTGACTGATGGATGCAAAACATAAAATGTTTTTAAATGTTTACTATTCTGAATACTAACTAGACATGGAAAGAATATAAACTGCGGCAACATCCAAGTCGATAATATGAAAATAAAACGAACGGAAACATATAAGTACTTGGGTGCAAACTTAAACTGCCCCAACATGCTGAGAGAAGAAATACAACCTAGAATACAATCTAGAAATAAAGTATACTATGCCTTTCAACATCTACTAAAGTCAAAGTGTCTGTCTCACAACACCAAGATCAAAATATATAAAATGTTGATAAGATCAGTCGTTTTATATGGCTCTCAAACTCGAAGCAGAAATAAAAGAGATGAGGCCTTATTACAGGTTTTCGAAAACTGTCTTACGACAAATCTTTGGACCCATCAAAGATGCTAACAGCGGGGAATGGAGAGTAAGAAGCAACAACGTAACACATAATATGTTTAAATCACCATTGATCACTGGCATCATGAGCGCTTACAGACTAAAATGGTTGGGGCATATTGAAAGAATGTCAGATGACAGAGAAGTAAAACGGTAAACACCTGAGAGAGGGGGGTAGACCACGAGGCAGACAAAAAAGAAGTTCGAGAGATAATGTCCATCCAGACCTGCAAACAACTGGTGTCACAAACTGTGAAGAGAAGGCCAGATAAATGAATGGAGACGAGTGATATCTGCAGCAGTAAACCTCAAGGGCTCAAAATGCTAAAGAAGATGATGACTATTCTGTGCTACGCTGTATAAAGTAAAAGTTCAGCATACATTTGTCATTATGAATGGTTTTTCTTTTAAAGATATATTTGATACACTATTCGTATTCGTATTCGGCCAAATAGTTGGTCCCGCTATTCGTATTCGGCCGAATAGTGAAAATCACTATACGGTACAGCCCTAGTATGTATCCAACTGTCCTCTGGAGTACCAGAGAGTTTCGGGCAATGCCATTATGGTCTCATAACTCAGTGAAGGGAAAATCCCAACAGCACCTCCACGTGGTAGAGGATGGGCAACACATTACAGTGTGGCAAATGCAGCTCTGGGGACAGAGTATCCACCGGAATAAGTGGACAACTCTGCAGCTGGGCAGAGCAGGACACTCACTTGTTCTGACAGTCAGAAATTACTGTCAAACGTAGAGGTAAAAGACCCTATGTGAATGTAGAAAATAACGGTAAACCACGACATTATTTTCCCAAGCATTCATGAAAAGTCACAAACATAGCAATAGAAGGTAAAGTGCTTAACCAAGTCAATAAAGTCAAGTTCATAACATCAGATGGACGATGTGTGACAGAAATTTAGAGCAGAATTAGCCAGGCAAAGGCAGCTTTTCAGAAGATAAAAAGCATTTTATGTAATAAATCACTCTCATTAAACATCAGAAAACGAGTATTGACATGTTATATCGAGCCTGTTCTATTGCATGGTAGTGAATCTTGGAAAATGAGCAAATTAAGAAGAGTTTGGAGGCAACTGAGATGTGTTTCTTGAGAAGAATGTTGAGAATACCTTGGACTGCCAGAATAACCAACATTGAATGCCTGGAAATTACAAATGCAAGTAGAACATTATATACAACAATAGGAAGGAGACAAACAAAGTTCTTTGGTCATGTAATGAGAAAAGGAGCACTGGAAAATAATGTGACGACTGACAAGATCACTGGTACAACAGTGGCAGACCAAGAGATATGATGGTGGATGGCTTAAGATAGTGGCATGGACGAATATCATCCGTAGAACTGATCCAGAACACAAAAGACTAAGATCTGTGGTGAATCATGATTACCTGTATCCAACTATCAATTGCCAACTGAGATGAGAAACAGAAGTCTTAAAAGCTATACAGATCCTATCCTGATTTATGGAAGTGAATCATGGCATGGAGGATTATCCGTATCAGAGTTTACTGAAAGTACACAAGACAGAACAGTGGATAGGTTGTGGATAAACATGACTACCAACAACACATGGTATGGACTTTAAGAATAAGAAGAAGATGATATATCCAAATTTGTAAATATTCAAAAATTTAGTTAGATAACATTTGTATTCAAATTGTATGACCTGTGTGCCAAAACTGATTTGTTTATCATCAGACTTGCTGCTCAAAAACAATGTCTCCAAGTATATCATTGCTTCACCTTGAAGAGTAGACTCGCAGCAACTAGCAATGTAAGCAAGTTCAATGGCTTTCTGACTATCATACAATGCTGGCAAGGCCTATAATCAGAACCAAAAAAAAACAGCAAACATTTTTACTGCATTATTTACCATAAAGATTTTTTTTAAATCAAGATAATCTAAGTTATAACCGATCTGCTACCAGACTGTCAGCAACTTTCTGTAATAAGAAGATTGCATGTACACTTTGAGTAGAGAGTACAAATATTAAATTACACAGAATGGAAGTTTGTAGATGCTGCTTTATGCTTAAAGCTAGTTTTGCAAGTCAAAGTTTTTAAGTGTCATGCAACACCCATATTATCTACAAATTCTTCGATTTCCATGTCCATGCCATGTGGCGTTGGTAGTCATGTCTATTCACAACCTTCTGTCTCATGGACTTTCAATTAACTCAGATGATCTTCCATGCCATGACGTCAAACCGTCTAGCATCTGTTCTCTCGGTCTCCTCAGCCTCTCGTACCCTCCAACTTTCCTACCATCACAATGTATGTACTCCAGTTTTCTCCTTCTCATCACATGACTACAAGAATTTAGAGTGTCTCTTTCTGATGTGGGCAATCAGTTCTTTTAGTGAGTCAGTTTCTGTCAAGATGGCTTCATTACTCTTTTTATCTGTCCAGGGTATTCTCATCATTTATCTATAAAACCAAATCTCCGCAGCTTCCAAATAAGTTTTCAATAATTTACTCTCTGTCCATGATTCACATTCTTATATCAATTTAGGATTTATATGGCTTTTAAGAATTCTCTTTCTCGTCTAAAATGACAAAAAAAGATTGCATAAAATATTCTTCCTTTTGTAAAATGCTGCTTTTGCTTTAGCTATTTTACATTTAACTTCCTTAATACATTTTTCATCTGCTGTTATCAGACCCAAGTAGAAACTAGAAATTCAGTAACGAATAAATACAGTATGAATTTATGTACAATTTGTGTTACTTACCCTATGAATAACATACTTCATAAGTGGTGTGTACTTGTCTTCTCTGACTTGTTTTATTATTTTAGTCTGCCATTCTGCCCAATCATCTAACTTTAAGTTTGAATCTCATAAAAGAAAAAACAATTATAAATTTAGCATAACTTTACTATTTAATCATTTAAGAAACAAACAAAAAAATCAATGTCATGATTCTACTATAATATTTGTAATTTAAAAAAAAAAAAAACCAATGACACTACTCATAACAAGCTCTAACATTCCTTATCCACCCAGCAGGTGATGATGGTGGGTGTGGATGTCGACTGTCTGTATTGTAAGTTGGTAAGACACAGACATCCTAACATTACATGCAGACCCTTACATTTTTTTACTATATGGATTTTGTTTTAGTTATACACTGTCTGATCCTTCTCCCCAAAATAACTCTGGAGCCATCCATGTTTGACAAATATTCCATGGTCATCAACAGATTCCAGTGATTCAATTTCCATTTGTAAAGTGAATATCGGAAAGTCATATCACTGTGCAGGGGCAGCCTCATTTGTCATTGAGACCTCATCATTTTCAGAATCTGCATTTCTCAACAAAACCATACTGGGCACAGTCAAAAAGCATTCTAAATGAAATCCATAGCTCACAGTGTCACACCATGCACTCAACTCAGTAGCTGGGAGATGGAACTATATAAATCCCACATATATATGGGGGAACATTGAATAGCCAACAATAACTAAAAGCGAAAAACCTTGCCAAAACTAATTGTTGGCCTGCATATCTGCCAAACTGGTACCAGTATGAACTGTGAATTAATTCAGATTTGTATCAACAGTGAATAAATGTGGCCTCAGAAATCATTGTAAAGATTTATGCAATCATGTTCAACTTCTTCCTTTGCCCTTAATCCCCCAGGGAATTACAGGCCCTCAGCAACTCACACCTAATCATGCCATCCTTTGTCTTCACACACAACTCACACCTAATCATGCCATCCTTTGCCTTCACACACAACTCACACCTAATCATGCCATCCTTTGCCTTCACACACAACTCACACCTAATCATGCCATCCTTTGCCTTCACACACAACTCACACCTAATCATCCCATCCTTCATGCCATTTTGCACACACACACAACTCACACCTAATCATTCCATCCTTTGCCTTCACACACAACTCACACCTAATTATGCCATCCTTTGCCTTCACACACAACTCACACCTAATTATGCCATCCTTTGCCTTCACACACAACTCACACCTAATCATGTCATCCTTTGCCTTCACACACAACTCACATCTAATCAGTCCATCCTTTGCCTTAACACACAACTCACACCTAATCAGTCCATCTGTTGCCTTCACACACAACTCACACCTAATCATCCCATCCTTTGCCTTCACACACAACTCACACCTAATCAGTCCATCCTTTGCCTTCACACACAACTCACACCTAATCATGCCATCCTTTGCCTTCACACACAACTCACACCTAAACATCCCATCCTTTGCCTTCACACACAACTCACACCTAAACATCCCATCCTTTGCCTTCACACACAACTCACACCTAAACATCCCATCCTTCGCCTTCACACACAACTCACACCTAAACATCCCATCCTTTGCCTTCACACACAACTCACACCTAATCATGCCATCCTTTGCCTTCACACACAACTCACACCTAATCATGCCATCCTTTGCCTTCACACACAACTCACACCTAATCATGCCATCTGTTGCCTTCACGCACAACTCACACATTATCATGCCATCCTTTGCCTTCACATGCAACTCACCCCTCACCTGCCTATTTTTTATCCGCCTAATAATGATCTCCAGGTGTTTGCATGCAATGGTGCTGCTACAACAATTCTAAGTGCTTTTAGAGCATTCTTCTTCTTAGCATTCATCAGCTGTTAATTCTGACATTAAACGAAAATCTTGTTACATAAAATACTCTTTATCTTCTGAAAGGCAACTTTGCTCGCCCTTTTTTTGTTCTTTACCTTTTATCTGGTTTTATGACTGCCCCGAAGTACTTGAATTTATGGACTTACAACACAAATGGAAAAAAAAAATATGCCAGCAATAACAGCCAACTGAATACGAGTAAAAGATTTACATATAAGCATGTGAATAAAATGGTATTTTTTTAACAGCCTACATTTATCTATTTCCTGGGTCATGCTGACAGAGTTCTCCTGGAGAAACACATGAGTTCTCAGTCCAAACAAGTCTGGATAAGTTTTAAAGATGTCCACACTTCCTTCAAGAGTGTTGCTGCCTGGATCATTACCCTGAACAGTATGAAGAAAATAGTTTCTGAGAGTTCAAAATATAATATGTTCTGCTTTGTGAACATATTTCAGCTTAACTCTTTCAGTCCCAAGGAACGCATCGTATGTTCATATTTTACTGCCTTGAAGCCCAATGAACGCAAAATGCACAGATTTTACGTCTCTCTTGACTACCCCTTGGGCCTGTGATGCTAAACCCTCTGGGACTCAAAGAGTTAACAAGATGGCTTTAGACTTGGGTGTCACACAGCTGAGTCCCTCTTCAGGTTCACAAAGAAAGCTGATAGATCCCTACCACCCCCTGATTACTAGAATTGGGGCACCCATAACGGCAATACAGGTTATGTAACCTGCAGTCTTGTGCAGGTAAGGATTGTATAGATAGTCTTTGTGTCCTGAAATGTTCTTACAAGTTGTTGATTCCTACTTAAAAAGTGTTAATTCTTACATTTGTTGTTTGTTGTTAATATATATTCCTTATTATTCTCAGATCATTGTCATCTATATTCAAACATTTCAGCATTTTACTTCTAAACATGATTTTCTAAAATGTTTTTGTGCAGTTTATAGAGCAAAAGTTACAGATCTATTTTTACTTCAAAAGCTCTTTTTTTTGTCCAGAAGATGTATAAATAATTGTTATTGCCCTTGCTCTGTACAATTTCAAACCCTTTCTCCCAAATATTTGGTTTTATCTCCCTCCCTGCTCTTTTCCCACCAGCTTTGTCATATGCATAATATGTACATACACGCATGCACACACACACACAGAAATAGAGAGAAAAACAGAAAGACAGACAGAATGAGAGAGACAGAAGAAAGAATCTTAACTGAGATACTTAGATTCTTTGATTTAGGATTGTTTGAGATTTATAGCCCAAACTGATCATAATGATAGGGAGCTTAGAAATTTAGTTAGAGATAATCTGTCTAATACTATAAATGATAATTTTTTTTCAGGATATTATTAAGGTGGAGGATAAAAAATATGTATTGTAAAAAGCAAAAGACACTGAGCCGGGGCCAGATGGAGTCAGGTATGCCTACATAAACAGCATGAGTGATGATGACTTAAAGGAGATGGCATTTCACTTCAACCAACATCAGAACAGCTTCAGTACCCCAGAATTGGGTACACGGCTACCTAATTCCACTTCCAAAACCAGGCAAAGATCATTCCAGACTCAGCGGTTTCAGGATTGTCACCCTACAGATTACTTTTGGCAAGGTTCTAGAGAAGATTTTTGCTGTTAAACTACAAAAGTTTTTGGAAAGGGAAGAGCTGCTGCCTAAAGGTTCTGGTAGTTACCGGCCACGGAAAGATACATGGTCTAATGCAGCTACTTTTGCTTTTGATGTTTATGAAGGGTTCCAGAATAGACAGGAGACGGTTGTGGTAGCACTTGATCTTGAAGATGCCTACAATAGAGTCAGATATCATATTCTGATATCTGCGCTTATGGAGAAGGGGCTTTGTCCCTGGCTGGTGAATTGGATAGCAGCTGTCCTGCATTCACATATGGTTGCCTTTCATCTGGGTACATGGACCTCAGAGCCATGTAATATAGCCCTGGGACTACCCCTGGGTTCTGAAATTTCACTGATGCTCTTTAATGTGTATACAAGCCAGATCACAGAACTTGAAGCACCAGGTGTTGGAAGGATATTGACATTTGCTAATGATGTTCTTGCATATAGGCAAGGGAGTGACAGACAACGGATAGCCCAAGAGCTGCAGGCAACTGTGGACAAAGTGACTGACTTGTGTGAAGAAATGGGTGTTGTCATTAACCCAGAAAAGGCAGCTGTTTTGTTGTGCTCTCAGGACAATAGAATTGTGAGAGCTAATGTTCCAAGCCTCACAATTAATAACAGTAACATCAAAAAAGAAAGCAAACTGAGGTACCTGGGTATCACTTTCAATAGAAGCCTGTCCTAAAAGGAACATGTGGAGGCAGTTGCGGTGAAATGCCAAAAAGGACTCTCAAGATTATGGCAGTGATGGACATGGAACAAAGAATGCTGTTCACAGTGTTTCAGAACGTCATTCTGTCGTTAATAGTTTACGGACTTGGAATGCTTACCATATATAAAGAATCATCTAATGAAACTCAAATGCATACAGAATGAAGCCATGCGGGTAATTCTGGTATGTACAAGAAACACCCCAGTAGTATGTATGCAATATATACTTGCACTGCCTACTATTGCAGATAGGCTCAAAGTTCTGGAGGCAAAATCATATCTCTGAGTAGCTGGAGACAAGAAGCACCTCCTGCATAAAGCCTTGGGTACAGCTAAGGGTCACAGATTGAAAAGAGGAAGGTCTTGAACGGTGCAAGCTGATGAAACAATTGGACCTGTGTGCAGGCTTGATAAGTTTGAGCGCGGAGAGGAGTGGGTCAAGGTGTCTGAACAAGTTTCAGACTAGTGTAAAGTTCTAATCATTTGAGGACGTGAGTGCAGAGACAGGCTAGCTGGTGCTGCAGAATCAGAAGCTCAACAAATGATTTATGACAATTTGCACCAGGATGATGTGATAATCTATATAGATGGCTCTGTGTTGAGGGGCAGATAAAGTGCATGGGGGTTCGAAGCAAAGACCAATGGACGTCGTTTAGTGCAGCAAAGCCTGGCATAAGATATCACAAAGTCTAGTTTGAGAATGGAGGTGAAAGCAGTTTCTGCTGCCTTCCGCTGGCTTGAGAATCAGCTGT